TGGCGACCGAGTGCAGGTACTTCCCGAAGCAGCCGTGCCCGGAAAGGACCTGCGTCAGCTGGAAAGAAAGGGTCGAGTGCTGCCGCCCTGCCCACTCGACGATTACCGGCTGGAGAAACTCACACTAGGGCCTGAAGTAACCTCCTCCTTTCGAAGATTAAATAGATATAAATAGACATAAAGTGAAAAAAAGCTAATCAAAGCCCTTTAGTCTAGTCTATCCATAACCCCATTTCACTACTTTAATTTCTAAATGTATATGTATGTGTAAATTAAACCTATGTTAATAATGGTCCAAGGTCCGGAGAAACGAACATCGGTTAATCGCTTAAGTATCGTAATTTGAAAGAATTAAAGACCTATTTAAGTAGTGGTATTTACTTACATAGTAGGTACCATTACTTTAGGTTTGAAAACGTATTTGTGTGTATGAAACAGTAATCGACCGATACAATATCTAGCTTGTTACGTCTCGGAATTACTATTTTTATTGACTTTCACAAATAAACCGGAACGCTATATATGTAGGTACGACTGAAATATAATCTTCTTCTTGGCATTGCCAAAGTATCACAAAAGACATTTTAGATACTCATTTTGTTTTTTTCTTGTAGAGGGGGCAAACAAGCAGACGGATCACCTGATGGTAAGTGACTACCGCCGCCCATGAGCGCCTGCAACTCAAGAGTCAAAACTGCGTTGACGCCCTTTGAGTCCTTCCACTCCAGAATTAGGAGGAAGGAAGGTTTGTTCTCCGGTACCCTAAATCGTTGCTTAATATCGGTTATCTGAGAGGACGTAGTATCACTTCGGTGAAGCCGGCCTATTTGTACCGAAGCTTAACCCTCCCACGGCTGGTACCTATATGTGTGCCGGGCAAATGCAGGGCAAATTCGGGCAAAGTTATATAAACACGAAACACAGATTTGGTTACCTTTATCCTAAGGAAAGTAAGTAAGCCGTATTGTTAGATTATTAGGTACTTTTTGAAATTATAAATAGCGATTCTTAATATATGTGTCTATTGTCCGTGTGGTGACGGATTAAGAATAGGTACCCGAGGCGGCGTGCGGTTTTAGATAGTATTGACGGAGGCAGCGTGCGCGTTGGCCGGAACAGCCGGTGGGATTTGGAGGCGGAAGTGCTCGCCGAGGAATATCGGCGGACGGCTGAGTTGCGGGCGGATAGCGGCATTCGGCCCCCGCCCGCAGAGATACGCGAGTAGCGTGAGGCCGTTCGCCGAGCCACGATGGCTTTTTAGACGTTCCGGCTAGAGGCTCCACGTGCTGGCATTCCTGCCGTGGAGGCGCTCTAGCCGGTCATCGTCGAGTGAGCAGGGCAGCAGGGCGGCAGCACGGGCCCCTTTCCTTCCGGCTGACTCAGGTCCTTTTAGGGCACGGTTGCGCCGGGAAGTACCTGCACTCGGTCGTTAGGAGGGAATAGAGTCCTCCTGTCACCACTGCGATTGCAGTGAGGACTCGGCTCAGTACAGCGCCGGATCCTCATTGCAGTCACCGGAGAGGATCTCTCGCTATTGACCGTCATACGCTCCATGGCCGGTAGTGACAGATGTTTCACCGCGGTCGCATCCTTCTGCGAAGATGTCATCTCGCAGAAGGAGGCGGCGGTGAGGGCCCGGAAGGACAACCTCCACTCGGACCCAATTCATCGCTGGCGAACCTGGCGGCGGAGGCGCGCTTACCAGCGCCTCATGTCGCCCTGTGTGGCCGCGGGCGGATGGGACGGGTTTTCCCTTCCACCCGCCATAACTGCCAGTAGCGAGTGTGTTTTTTTTCCTTTTGACAAACCTTTAACCCATAAATTCTGCACTTTATTTCTACACGATTTGCAAAATATGAACAAAAAATATTCAGTGGTTTAGAAACAGGTAAATTTTTTAATTTTCGTAATTTGCAACATCATGTGTAAATGCAGACATAATACATTGACCTCAGGCGGCGATCAGCTGTATACGCGGCGCGTTAACATCACACGTTGCCGCTTTTACTACACCCGAATCGAAAGAAATATTTTGATTATTGCGTCATCAGGATGAAGGACACGCGTTTTTAATTAGTTCATCCAGTAGGTATAGTCAGTCAACCAGTCGGTCCTTAGCCATCGCGAATTACAGAATGTTATGGTGTTCTGTGTCTCTGTACCAATTATTTTGTTAGTAAAGGTTAAACGGTTAGTTTCGAACCTAACGGCGAGTCCCTGTTATAAATACATCAGCACTAAAGATGGGTATTCAATCGGTATTGTAGCATGACATATTTTTCTTATTATCCGGCAAGGCAAGGCAAGGACCGGTGAGTGCGGTGGATGACAGAGAGTTTCCAGCTGTAACTTTGCGAAGGCCTGTCGTGAAGTGTAAGCTCGCGCGTTGTCGTGTAGAAGCAATGGAGAAGAGCGATTAACTTGTCGTGTTGAATTGTGAGCTTCTCCATCATTGTTTGCCATAGGTAAGAAGCTATGATGTACAAGTCCGGCACTGGTCAACCAGACAGTTACTATCATCTTCCTATAAGTAATCATTTTTTTTAGCGCACTGATTAAGTGCTGTACCTGGGTCCATCCCCTGAGATGAACGCTTACGGTTTTCTTACAGGATACACTTTAGATCGCAGGTAACAATTCGATATAGAAGTCTCTAGTTTCTACGCCGATTCAGTAATGCTATGCATGCTGCGACGCGTAAGTCTTGCAGATAGTTACTTAATTCGTGTGGCACCTATTTATCTAGCCGATTTGACGCAAGTGCTTCAATGTTGTTTAAACACTAACTCCAAAGCCCGCAGTAAGTTCAGCCGTAGATTGGTTTGGTTCCGCGTCCACTATCACCTTCAATTCTTCATTGGTGGAGGCGCCGACCACGTGGATCGTTCAACTCAAAGTTTCCAGCTCTACAACGATGGAACTAATAATGGACCGTGTTTATGCAAGCAGTGTAAGGCCCGTCGTTAATGTTTTGTGTTGTTTGCGCAGCGGTATTTTCACGTAGGAACACATATTCAAAAATTGTCGAATTTTCAGTTTATCCATGGCGCCAAAAACTACCGCAATTTTACAAAACCAACACTATCTAAAAATTATATTGAAATAAACTGAATTGAATTGTAAATTAAAATAACATGGCATGGATATCTGAGAATGCTGGATTTAAAATTCTCCAACTTTATAAGTAAAGACCTACTATTATTATTTAGGTTTAAACTAGAATACGGTACTTAAAAAAAATGATTTCGAGATATGATGCATTAGAAAACAAAACGTAACATGCCTATCACGATCAACGTATATTTCACCTGATTAAAGTGGCAGGAAGTTGTTTCTCCGCATTTCCCTCTGGTTCGCAATGGAAAACTCAGTCTACTCAAAGGTGAGACAAAACCAATTTTGTGAACAAAACAATGAACCCAAAGAATTTCAATCTAATACTTATTACTTACTGATAGCAAAAGTAATTTTACTGGACAATATGAGCGCTAACTTCAAAAGTACGGACGTTCTACAAAAGACATCACAACACCTGCAGCAAACGATTTTTATGACGATAAAATAATGATTAATATTAGTTAATAATGATTAACTATTAGTAAGAAAAAATTTACGTATCATTCCATTAATGAGACGTTTGATTCATTTACAAACAACGTTCAATAATTTGAGAAGTAATCAAAGTCAGGTATTGCACTCTTAAATCGGTATGATATGCTCGTCAGCGCTAATGCCTACCTAAGAGTAACCATTGTCTATATTTACGAACGGAACATAGTAATTGTGATTTGTTTGTGGATGTGACGCTCTGTGTGGTTATGTATTAAGAATATGGTGTGTGACCACCCTTATTTATCCAGTGGGTGTCGTAAGAGCCGACTAAGGGACCAAACTACGCACGACAAGAGCACTGCGAAGAGAAGGAAAACTTGACACAAACCCCATGCCAACCCGTCTTGCCAGCGTGGTATACTAGGCCAAACCCTTCTTAGGAGAGGCCTATGTCCAGCAATGGACTATTAAAGGCTGTTATCATGATGACGATGATGTGGATGTGTAACATATTTCTTCAGTTTGTGGGAGTAAATTCGTGAATAGGGACGTAAATATGTAACAGAAAGACGTGGAAGAACGCGCTATTTAATTTGATTAATGAGCGCGGGCGATGATAGAGTGGGCCATGAAATGTCAGGTGTTATTTGTTTTACTTTGTCACCTGTACCTGGCATTGTATTTCACTGAATAAATGTTTACTTTCTATGTAATAGAAAGTAAACATCCATTCAATAGAAAGTAAACATTTACAGTACGGCACAGAACCAGTCCAGTCTGGCAGTGCATTGTCAAGTATATTTTGCCGGTGTCTTTTCATCTTTCAATGAAGTTTCTAACAACACAAATCTACCCTTAAGACTTATTAGTATTTTTTTATTTTGGCCTGTTACCCCTAGATGGCAATGCTGTATGGTGGAGGAGGACTGAAAAGGAATGCAGTAAGTTTGCCAAAACTAATCGTAGATGGTCCTGTACGTTTTTGTATCGTGTATGGACATATAAATAAGCTTTGCTTTTATATTTACAAGTGTGTGGCACATATAGACAAAAGACGCTTGTGACAATTCCTTTTCTAAGCTTATAGTTTTCTATATATTCGATAATTGCACCCCATGACCAAGATATGACTGCAGATTCTACTAAGTACCTTTTGTTTTAAATTCTGTCTTAGTTCAATAGTGAGCTATGCGATGCTATACCAGCCTGGTGATTAGTGCTTTTATTACCTAATGATGTAAACCTGTATGTATCAAGCGAAACAATTAAGAATAATTTGAAATAAAATACAACATAAAACTTTAAATTATTATTTAACATTTCATTCTGTCTTTTAAATCAAACAACAGATAATTCAGTTTCGCATATTGTTCGAATATCACAATTTTTAATAGTTTGTCTTTCGTGTTAACATTTATAATACTGTTGGAGAGGATGTATTTCGAGGGTCAGGAATCTTGTGTTAATTTCCATATTTTCACCGTTTTGTCTTCACTGGCCGTGATCACAGTTTTTGAGATCTCGTCGAAGTACACGTTATTTATAGAAACTGAAACAAACCATATGATTATAAAAACAGTAAACAATACATTTAAACCTACATCCGAACATATAATTTGTTTAGTACTCGCCGATCATCGTAAAATTAGAAGGGCCACAGATAAAATTTGATTTACTTTTTTTACTCAGAATGGCCACCTTTTAATCCGTACAAATACTGTTTTCAATATCTGATTGGATTGATAAAATCTAAAGTAAAGAAAGCCACAGGCAAAATCTATTAAAAAGTAAAATAAATTATAATAAAGCTTTGTTATTTTAACTATACTCCTTATATAAATAGCTACCGATTGCCTATTTATAACTCTTTATCTGAACCATTAATAGCCCTGGGGGAGGTAGGTATGGGACGGCTTAACCGGAATGATATCACGGCCACACAGAAACTACCGGGTAGATGACTGTCAAGTCACATCGTACCTTTTTTAAACGTCAAAACGCTAGAAGCGGTACATTTTCGTCTGAAATACTATTTCGTGAAGTCATTCCTAGCTATTGTCAAATTATTTATATTTACTGTTGATATTAAGATATCCAATCAATAAAAACATTAAATTAATAATAGAGGACAATTCAGGCTCTACTATAAGATGAAACATTTAATGATGCAGACGAAATAATTTATTTTAAACCTAGTAATCTACCCTATTCTTTCGTTGCTTTTAACCGAGTGAGTGAGAACCGCTCCTAAGTCTGAGAGAGGGGGCACTGGAATAGCTTGTTTTCCTATTTTTTGATCTTGTGTTGTCATCGGTACTCGACACGAATGCAAATTTTAAGGTGGAACTTCAAGAGGTCCGCTTTTGAAGTTGATTTAAACTACATCGAAAGAGACCTTTACATTGATAGATAGAGAGGTAATTAGATAGATGTAAAGATACAAGGCAAAGGTGAAACTAGTATAACAGAAGGCAAGAATGTGTAGCATAATTTTGACGTAGTTTTTATAAAAAATGGTAACTAAACACAATAATACAGTATAGCAAAAAAATAGTCAAGGTTAAATTGTGTCTGTGTGTGACTTAGTGTCCTATTGTACGAATTTTTTTCAACCAACCACACTTTTTTGGGTAACGTTACGTAACGTATTAAAAAACAAACTTAAAAAAAGGTCTTTTCTTTTTGGGAATTTTATAAATTAGGATCATCTCGTTATCTGTCAGTGTATCTCTCAAGACCTTTATCTCAGGAGGTATCAAGTTGAAATTATTATCAAATACTTGTCTGCCTTCCCTTGAAGTCGTGGAAAAATGAAGCTATAACCCCATTTTTAGAATATTAACAATAAAATCGCATTATAGTTCATTTATTGTATGAATGAAGTAGGTATAGACACATCAACATTATATTTCTAGAAAACCGATTTAATAATGTATAGGATATTATATACGAATAGGATCGTGGTACGCTAAACAGTTTGCACTAAATTCTATTCGCTTTAGTAGTGACGTCCCACTCGATCACGTTAATCGATTAGGTATCGATTCCTGATCAATCAGGTTCCAACTTTTCGTATGAAACGATAATTGGATCTGATTAGTACCCGAGACGGCGTGCGGTTTTAGCCGGTTCGAGTCCGACATGCCACCGATAGGTGGTATCCGAGGGGATTTCCGCAGGGAAAACTACTACTAGGGACTATAGTGATGTTACTAACGGAAGGCCCATTCTAGTAATATAAGTTCGGTCAAAATTAAGTTCCAATCAACTCTCGATCTCAGAACTGTCGTAAAAGGTATTTTCGTAGTATAGAATTAAACATCCAACGTTGACTGTAATGTGAGCCTTCTGCTTATAACAACTCATCATGATTCGAATGCACTAAATCCTCAACTCTCTTTATTAAAATTTATCCCATAAATATTACACTTTTACGTTATTTACGTCAACTTAATTGAAGTAGTTTGAATACCATAACACTCGCTTTTCGCTGCATTATCATTTGAAAAACACTTAAATAAAAACAATTTAGAATTTGAAAAGGTTCAATGCTCTCCGAGCGTAGGTAAAACATATGTGCATATTGTACATACATAGCAAAAAACGAAACAAATAATTAAGAAAGACACACGAGCTCGAGCAGTGACGTATTGATGTTCGTACGCGGCTTCATACTTAGAAATATTATTCTGGTGGTGTAAAATCAGTCGAAAGTGCCGACTTTTCGGAGTTAAAATCCAAGATTTAACAACCTTAGCATTATTACACAGGGTATGAATACATATTACTTCCGTGGTTCTGATATGAAATATCTCTGAACCACAAACATGTAAACCTCTCAATTTTGCTTATAGATAACTTCAAAGAAAGAGATGCTTAAAACATGGTAAATGTGGGTTCTGTTACACCTCTGTAATACAATTTGGACTTCTTGACATGCTTTCACTTTATCTCTCTTGCTCGTAAGAAAAGCAACAAAATTTGATTAGTTCTAAAGTAGTTGTCGGTATTTAAATAGCTACTTACAATCATGTGCGATATGGGAGCTTGTCTGTGTAACGGTGAGCATGTTCCATTGCAGCAGGGAACCATTGCTGCCGCCGAGCCACAGTACGCTAGAGCCGTCCCAACATAGTGACGTCACGGGCTCCGGTAAGTGCTTCTGATATACCTGTACCAAACACAAACTTGCGATAAGTGGGTGACAGAGGACAGGATTATTTTGTATTGATATTGTGACTAAATGGACGGCTTAGCTCAGAACAAGCAATATATGTTTTTTTCCGGAATAGTGGGGCAAACGAGCAGAAGGGTCGCTTGATGGTAAGCGACTACCGCCATTTATGCATTCCTGCATGCACCATGCATATGCAACTCAAGAACGTTGCCGCCCTGAGAGTGCATGAATTGGGAGGAGAGGTGGGCTTGGGTTTCGGTTAACTCACCGACTCGGTGAAAAGCATTGAAAAAGTAGTTCAACAACGATTTTCATTCAGGCCCTGGTATCACTCCGGCCAAGTGGTTCTCCCACAGTAGATGACCATAAACAACTATGTGAGATTTTTGATTTCTTTTAGTATATAATAGCTGTTTTTTTTTGCTATAGAATTTGAAGCTTATTAGTTAATTCTACGGGCAACTTAAACGCTTCCTGTTTATTATAACACTAAAGAATTTAATACCTAATTCAATCTTTTTATAAAATGAAACGGCGGAATATACCAATTTTAGTGTTAAGTGTTATGTGTTGTTAATAGATTGAGTGCGAAAATATGCAGGGCCGACAAATATACATATGCAAACGTAACTGAATATTAGATATATATTTTCATGGATTAACGATTGTGCTTTAATGGAAGGTAACGATTTGTTAACGCAATAAGCGTTTGCAACAACAGGGATGTCACTTCAGCATTAAAATCTTTTTTTTTTTAGTTTTGCTTTACGTCGATCTGACATTTTTAATTTGCTTTTGACAAAACTATGTTTTAAAGTATGGAACTAGACTCATTGCTGGTAATCAGAAGCCTATGTAAGTAAATAAATTACATTAAGTTAGGCCAACATAGGACAACTGAAAAAAGGGACAGGACAGCTAAGATACTCGGAGAAAGCCTGTCTTTACCCGACTTCATAAAAAAGAGACGTTTCTTGATTTGGTTTTTTTTTTACTTTTTATGTTTGTTACCACAGAACTCAAGGATTTATCAACCCTATTCTTTATTTGGGAGGATAGGTACCTACATATCCCGTGTGGTGTCTTTCATATTTGAAGAAAAACCGCCACACCTAAATTAAGGAATGAAGTAATAGTCTATTACAATTTATCATGAAAACAGTTAATTTATTCAAATTTAGCATTTACCAAAATAGCCTATGCAGGTTTTAGGTGCAAACTTACCGCCGGCACCCCACCTTTCGAGTAGGAGCAATGGGTCGCTCAGCTAGCCGTCGTCGTCGATGCCTGTCGCCTTCACCAGTTTATTGTGCTAGGGGACTTCACCGCCTGGTCGGAGACCTGGGGTTCCCGGCGTTCGAATCCGAAGGACAGGGTATTGGGAAACTGGGCCGAAAGAATTGGCCTAGTTGTCCTAAACCGAGGAGCCGTGGCCACGTTGGCGACGGCGAGGGGTTAATCGTTGACATCTCGTTTACGTGCCCCTCGCTATCGCATCGTGTCCAGGGCTGGCGCGTCGTTGTTGGGGAGAAGACAGGTTCGGATCACCGATATATTCGGTTTGACGTCTCTGCCCCTACGAATGACCCGCCGGTCAGACCGGCTCCACCTGAGTCACGTTGGGCGCTCAAGCGCTTAAATCGGGAGCTCCTCCTGGAAGCCGCCATGGCCGCACAGGTCTGTTAACGTCGATGCTGAGGCATGGTGGTTCCGGGAGGCCATGAAATAGGGTTTAGCCCAATATTGCGAGGCGCCAGGTCTACTGGTGGTCGCCGGAGATTGTACGCCTACGCCGAGCCTCCGTGACCTCGCGCCGTCAGTCCAGTGTTAGCGGTATACAGGGTGGCCAAGAGGACCCTACAGGCTGCGATAAAGCGGGCTAAGAATGAGGCCCGCCGCGAGTCGTCGGCTCCCTGTTTGCATCGCGAGTGGTGCAACATACTCCACCACAGATGGCTCCGCTCTCGCAGTCTCAGAAGAGTCTACTCGGGGGTTGTGCGGTCCATGGCCCTTTATGGGGCCCCAGTATGGGCGGAGCTGAGGGCCAGCAACGTTGCACTACTGCGACGACCGCAGCGAGTGCTGGCCATCAGGGTCATAAGGGGGTACCGCACGATCTCCTTTGAGGCTTCGAGTCTCCTGGCCGGAACTCCATCGTGGGACCTGGAGGCGAGAACCCTTGGGGCTCTGTATAAGTGGCGCAAGGAGGCGCGAGAGTTGGGTCAGAGTCCTGAGACTCGAGAAATCGATGACCAGATATCCCAACTCCACCGGGTCCTCGTACAACTCGCCAACCGGCCAAGTCGTTCCCTAGACTCTCTTCCAGCGTCGGGTACGCTGTCATCGCAGCGGTATGACCCGTTATGGAGGATTGGCTCGAGAGGCATCACGGGACCCTCTCATACCGGCTGACGCTGGTGATCACTGGGAAAGGATGCTTCGGGGATCAGCAGGGAGCCAACGCCTGAGTGCCACCATTGCGATGGCCGGATCGTGGACTCGGCGCTCCACACGCTGACAGAATGCCCGGTGTGTGGAGCAGAGGCGTGCCTTCGTGGCGGCCATCGGAGTGGGAGTTTTCTCGCTCGATAACATGATTGTGGTCATCGTGCGCAGCGAGAGTGCATGAAACTCAAAGTCTCCTTCTGCGAGCAACTTGTGCTTGCGAAGGAGATGGCGGAGCGGGACCGGGAGAGGTTTAAAACTCTCTCGGCCGGCCAGGCTCGGGAACGGGCCAGGTACCGCAGACGACTCAGGCGCCGAAGGTCGCAGAACGACCTCCTTCCACCTGGGGGTGACAGGTGAGGCCATCTGTCACCATGGCAAAATCAGACGCGTTGCGGAGCGCGCGTGCCGTTTCGGGAGCACGAAGGGAACATGGGGGTTCCCACACAGGAGGGGGTCATCTACGCGCCGTAGATGGCCCGAGGTACGTCGGGGTGCCAGGGATGGCCTTTCTAGGGTACACTTGGTTCCCCGGCTACTGGTATCCGAGCGTGCGGTTTTTAGTCGGTTTGAGGCCGACATAGCCACCGGTGGGTGGTATCTAAGGGGATTTCCGCACAGAAACAAAAAGGTGCAAACTTACCGAATGCAGCACACTGAGGTCAGTGACGCTTACATCTCCATCTTCACTGGCAGTGACTACTCTGTCTCCGGAGAGTATAAAGCATACTCCGCTTATGGGCGATGAGTGAACAGAAATCTTGTTCTTGAGCTCTCGGGTTGTGTAATCCCACACAAAAACCTCGCCGTCCCCTGTCGCGGTTATAATGTCGATCTCATGACGTCGACGTCTAAGGAAAAGTCACATCTATACTTCAATATAATAAAGCTGTAAATTTTTTTTAGGTTGAACACTGTATAACTTATAAATATACCTAATAGTCGACTCCGAAAAAAAACTTTTTAGGTTACAAGCCATTACTGAGAAAGTTTGCCGTAAACTAGGGTTACTTTGACTTTGTGCGTAAGTTTGACAGTTTTTGGGACTACTTTGACTTTGTGCGTAAGTTTGACAGTTTTTGGGACTACTTTAACATGCGGCTATTTTGGCTGATCTCATCTAATCTTTAGAAATCCAGAAAAAACTCTAAAAACGGACGGACAAATCCATGATGTATACTATAGAGAATGCAGAGCGAAGCTACATCTCTACGTAACGCTAAGGGATCGAGCCGGTCGGAGGTCTATTGGCTATCGACGATTCGAGTCGTTCTTCTTTGAATATGGTCCAGAGGGAGAAGCTGATAATGAGGTGCCCCTGCATAGAGATTAGAACAGTATTCCATATGCGGTCGGACTTGCGCCTTATAAGGTTGGAGGCGATGGCTGGAGTGAAATATTGCCATGATCTGTGCAGCTCACCGAGCTTTTTCGAGGCCAATTTCCCAAAGGTCAAATCTAACCCTCAACTAATACTCTCGCTGCTAATGATTTTACAATTACCTATTTTAACATTGTAATGTCATTAATCTTATTTGCTCGTCAATAACGACAGTTTGACTTTAAGCTGATAGTCTTTTATCAGCAAATGCAAATCTATTAGTAGACTCTTCGGTAAATTTCTATTAACGACTATTAATTGTAGTGACGGATTAAGAATACGGAATGTCACTACCCCAATTCATCCCGTAGGTGTCGTAATAGCCGACTAAATGCGCAAAACAACGCAGGACATCAGAACTGCAAAAAAAAACGAAAACTTGACACAAACCCTATACCAACCCGTCTGGTCAGCGTGATATAGTAGGCCAAAACCTCCTTTCTAGGAGAGGCCTATGTCCAGCAGTGGACTATTAAAGGCTGTTGATGATGTGATGTGAATTGTATAGTTCTCAGTTAGCTAGTTAGTTAATTTCTCTACTATTAATAAAATTGCTAAACACGTTAAGTTTATAATGCATATGAACACAAAAAAAACATTACCGTATATTTTATTAATTACTTTTTGAAAAGATTTTCATTTAAAAAAATCACAAATATAATTATATATCGTAAAGTAATAAGTTAAACGTTATTAATTTTGTTGAGACTTCGGTAACATTCCTTTTATGATAGAAGAGTAAATTTATTATAGTATACATTTTAAATGCTCTGGGTTTAATTACTACATCTTACTTAAGATCAAATTATTCTCCATATAAAACCAAACATGGGCCTTGTAAAAGGCCAGTGGATTGCCCAGCTCTAATGTTTTCCTAAGTGACATACTTGTTATATTGGGAACAACTTATTTTAGGATAAAATATATATTTCAGTGTAGGAAATTTTGTATGTGGGTATAAAATATGCCATTAGTTCCTCTGTTATTAGACTGCCGACGTCAAATTTTACCGACTGATATAATTAGCTGACCTCGTATTCTCAAATAAAGAGCTAAATACCGTTTACCGTTCTCCTAAATTTCCTTACCGAAATTTAAATACAGTTTTTGAACAGTTTACCGTATGCTACCTAATTGTAAACGAATGAAGGCCTAAGGTCTGTGGTACAACTACAGCTATCCGACTATGTCGACATTAACATGTTAAAGTAACTTCGTCTGTCGGTTAACCGCTGAACCATTTTGGATGTGTTTTATAATAGATAAAACGAAAATAAAACCTGAAGGAGCCACAATACAAGTTCGTATTTCAGAGCTTCCATACACATTTTAGCAAAAAAACTCCATATGGCATCAAGATTTGTCAATTTTAGAATCATGAAATAGTTAGTATTCAAAACTATTTACTGTTATTCTTAAAAGCAGGGACGTAAAAGCGTAGTTAAACGTTAACTAAGTAGTTTAAGGACATTTATTAAGTAAACCAACCTAAATCATTACGTTTCAGTCTTGTTTAGGCTCACATTAAATACAAAAGGGCAGCTTTTGTAAGAGCTGAATTATCGTTTCATTACATGACAACTTATTATCACATTAAGACATAACACGGCAAAATAATCAAGTCTAGCAAAGCAGTTCATCTACCGCAAAAAGTTGCGAGATCTAATTGTTACCTAACTTGTTAACTTACAACATTTTATAGTGACCGTATCAATATTAGACAACTTTATTACATAGGATTGCAAAGTTATTTGTGTAATTTGTTTAGGAAGCGTCTATTAATTACGTGAGGCGTTCAGGGGGGATGGGGTCGAGACGAATCTCATCTAATCTTACTTTGGGGAAAGGGGGCTCTCGTCAAATATCACGTAATTTTTTATCCGTGAGAAACAGAGTAAAATGGCAAGAAAACTGAAACCGAACACCCCTCACGGTAATTAATGGACGTCCGGTGATAAAGTGATACTGGTATTTATACTATAATGGATTGTTTTTTAGTTTTCTTTTGATTTATGGGCTACACGGTAATTACCAAGGAGGGCTGGCGTCAGGTAGGCGGCCGAAGAAATAGGCAAAACCATTTCGCTATGAAATGAAGGATTGTGTGAAAGAAGATGTCGAATGGAAGATAAAAACTCATTGCACCGACCCCAAATAAATTTGGACCAAAGACAGGGACATGATAATGACGATGATGACATTTGTGTGCAAATATTAACTAACATTGGATTTTCTATGTCTAAAATAAGAAACAATGCACTCGAAAATGGTTTTTTTTTATATAGATAATAAACTTGGTTTCACATTACCTGTACGTCACATTGGTAACTTTTCCATCATGGTCAAATTCAGCTTTAAGTCCGCGTAGGGCTTGCCCGGTCCTGAAGATGTTACCCCACACGCGTACCACGCCATCATAACCACCCGATATCAGAAGACGTTCTAAAAATAAATATTATATTTTACGGTTCTTTTGAATCAGAACGATTTTTTTAAATCTTAGTTCTTTTTTGTTCTAAAGTTAAGTATTCTATTTTTGTTGACGGCCTATTAGTATCTAACACTTATTGGTGAAGTAACAGTTACGATATTACTCAATAAAAACATTGTTCGTGTTTTTCAAGTAGGTCAACTAACGAAACGTATACAGATGTGCTGGTCACGTGGCGGTAACAATCATAAATCCTTGAATGTAATCAACGATGACGTACCTCTTCGGATCCAATAATTGAAAACTAACTACACTAAATAAGAGTTTAACAAACAACTTAATAAACACGCCTTAATGGCAAACCAAACTATTAAAAAGTAAAAAATAAATTCGACTATGAACCTCCTGCTTGTATCATAAACCTTCAATTGTTGTCAAAACGAACCAAATAAACACATTCGAGAAGTTTAAACTACTAAAAAGATCTAGTATCCTTCTCATAGCTCAGTTCTAAGAGGCCACATTATAGTATTATAATACATATTTTACATGTACAATGTACATATATAGCCATAGTGTTGTCATGCAAACTATGTATTTACATACAAAATTTTGATACGACAATACGACTATATTATAAATGACCTCTAACATTTGTTTACATACCTAATTACAGTTGAAGCTATTGAGAGCGTGTTAATAATATTTTTAGATAAAGTGAATGTCAGTACACTAGTATCTAGTCTTACCGACGAACCAAGATAGCATACTTTCTTTGTATGAAATGAGTTGTTGCATGAACATTAAGCACCATAAATGCGCTAAAAGAAAACATTTAAATAAAACACGCTGTTCATTTGTGTTTAAACTTTATAAGAAATTATTTCATTTTTACTAAAATTACTGCTGCGAAAGTAACGGTCAGAACGCCTCAAACAAAGGACAGCTACCTGCGCGCTAAACTCAGGCAGTCACATTTTTTATTGTGACTGTGGATCTATGGGTAATTTTTACAATCGACTTTCACAAAAATGAGTCTTAAACTACAGAGAATAACAACCAGTGAAATAAATCTATTTAAAATAATAGTAAATAAAAAAAATAAACGTTACTTATATTTCCGTCCTCCGAGCCTTTGTTTAAACTAGTTGGGTCGGCTAAGTCTACTAGGATACGGCTGAACTTCGATTTTTTATGTGGAGCGACTGCCATCAGAGCTGTACAACCAAAGTACTAGGCGATATCGAAGACAAAGATGTTGCCGGACTTTTTAGGGCTCCTTTTTAGGGTTTAATGCAACCTTAACTTAACGTGCTCTCCGAGGCACGGAAAGGTCTCAATGTGTTAAGAATGGTCACCCTTCAGTAGACTGACCTGGCTAGATCTTTGCTTAACTTTGCAATGTGCACTCTCTCACAAATTTAAAATAAACTATAAATAACAGGCTAGTTGACTCAATTTGAAAACTTAGTTTGTTTTATACCAAAAAAACTATATTTTAAAGAAAAAGCAATATTAACATTAGGTACGTATTTTGTATTTAAAAAAAAATAATTAAAATTTCCCTTGAAAACGCTGAATAGTGTCATTTCGTCTTTAATGACGTCACAGTCTACGAAACAAAACTGTTTACATCTGTGTCCAGTGCCAACTGTATTAAGCTGAGAAAATAGGCTAAAAACGAAAAACAATGAGGAGTAACCTGCTCTATTGTATAAAAACGTCAACAACAACAATGATGTTTTGCGTGGCGTGACGTAACCCTTTCTGATTGGTGTTCGCTGTCACGTGACTTAATGCCTATTTTGTTCGAATTTATTTGTTAAAAATATTAATAATCGTTAACTTTTATGAGAAATAGACTGTTGTTTTCTTTTCTATGTCTCTTCGTTCACAATTTGAAACTATAAACCAAGCTATTTGTTATTAGTAGACACAAGCCTATTCGTGTGACTGAAATGGAGCAGTTTTATAAACACCGGTTCACTACACACAAGCGAAAAAAACAATTACGATAATTGTTCTATTACTTTTCAGGAAAACAGAAGCACACGTATGCATAAGGATCAAAAAAATCATTATTCATTCAGTTAGTTTAAAAAAAAGACTGCAATAAACGAGGGATAATAATAACGTTAATAACCTTAATTGTTGAAGATAGAGTGGTTATTTACTTACTTAGAGCAATTTGAACCTTTCGACAGTAAGAGCAATTGTGTTACCCACTGCACTAGAGGAGTTTAAATTCTAAATTTATACACCGGCAGAGACAAAGTGACGTAGGCCGTTTAGTTTTCTTCTCTAAGTAGTGTAACACGTGTCTTTTGCTCTATAGTACGACAAATCGGACGTAAACAACAGCGATAACGAAGCTAAACAAACAAAAATCTGTTAACCTATTTAAAAAGATAAGACGCGATATTTAAAACAAGTTTATTTTTAGAAAGTTTAAATCATACCTTTATCCAGCCATAGTAAACAACTGACGGAGTCGTCGTGCGCCCGAAAACTTTCCACTACTCTCCCGTATTCCACATCGTACAAATATCTACAAAATATATAGCTTTTTAATTCCAAACTTCATTATAACACAGTGACTAATGTGTGTGTGTGTGTGTTGTGTGGTAACGGATTAAGACTAAGGAGTGTCACCACCTCTATTAATCCTAGGGTGTCTCTGCAGGACGACAGCACTGTTCAGAGAAGGAAAACTTAACATAAACCCTATGCCAACCCGTCTGGTCTGCATGGTATAGTAGACCAAAACCTTCTTTCTAAGAAGAGGCCTATGTCCGGCAGTGGCCTATTAAGGGCTGTTGATGACGTATGCCATGGACTAACCGACAAGTCACTTCGACTTTCAGATATCTCTGACTAGCTCGAACTATTGCTTACATTCACCGAACCATCCGTATGAGCAATGATCTTTTCCTTCCAGGGCTATGACTTATCTGTCTCGCTCTCTCTCTCTCTCTCACTCACTCTCTCTTTCACTTTCAAGCACCAAATTTTATTTTTTAAAGACAACTTCCGCAATATTTTAGCTCAATCCGTACAGAACTTTTTGAATTTTTGAAGCGTAGACAAACCAACTTAACATTTTCTCTCTCTTTCTCTTTAAAAGACAACTCCCGTACTAGGAAAATATCCTGTGTCGCGGGGGACTTTAGAAACATACTTGAAACGGACACAGAGAACACCCAGACTCAGAACAACAATTTGTGGATCACACAAAGTGTCGTCTCATGTGGGGATCGAACCGACAACACTCAGCGTAGTAGAAAGCGGCGTGACAACCGCTTAAACCACTACGCCCACTCTGCCCCTACCCGAAGGAATCTTCGAAGATACAGACATGTGTATATTGTGTAAATGTAATAAAGGTATATTTGTTGGATATATTAAGTCAGATGAATAAAACAAAATAATTACATTTCGTTATCCCAGGCACCTATCGCAACTGTATTTTCATTAACCATTACGCAGGAACTCAAAGGCGTTGAGCTGAGAATTACACTTCGTATCTGTTTTCTCTGTACAATATCGTACACTTTCAGTGTACCATCCTTCCCCACAGATATTATAATATTGCCTTGTCGAATGGCGCATTTCACGGCTTCTTTGTGAAGTGACAACACATCAACACATTCCATCTTGTAGCTGAGATTGTCGTTGAATGCTAAAGACTTAGCAATGCGCGGTGTAATTTTTCTAACGTGCGGCTTCGTGAATAGTTGTTTTGGCACTTGCCCAAATTCCATTATTTGCACTTCTAGTGCGTGTCTGTCGTTCATATCGTAAATACATTCGAGATTTACCGCGCCTTCATAACACACGTGGTGGAACACTGAAATTAACACATGAATTACTATTTATACTTAGGTGCTTTAAATATAATATATATTATTTTTCAAATCCGCGTCTAGTATTAATAGGATACTGGTATATTATATTTAGATTTGATATGTTATGTTAAGTGTTTTTCCAAATAAAAGAGGTAATTGTGCCAAAGTGGTTATTTTAATTTCTATCCTCCCTGGCCGTATATAGCCGCGATCACTTGAGACAAAAACATTCATATATAATGAATTTCTTGATTTGTCGCCGTGAGTCATTATATTTTCTATATAAATATTATTGATAATAGTAAAAAATTATATATTTATAATAGAAAAATCCTAAAATAGTAGCTTTTATCACGTAACTGCTAACACTAACTAGATTCGATATTTAATTTAAAATTACGAATTAATAAGAAACTCATTTTTGTATCCTAATAATTGTTAAGCTGCCTTACCTATACTACTTCTTATGTAAAGATATCTAAAATCTATACCAAAAAATTATAAACAGCATTTTACGTTACATTGCCAGCAGGCTTGACTGCGTGTATGTGAACCGCTGCTGCCGGCTTTCTACCTCGGTTGTGAAGTTGTGGTAGGATTCACAAACACACATGATGTAATAGACGATATAGATATAGATAGATTAACATAGATATAGATTAAGATAGATAGATTTAGATATAGATTAACATAGTTTGTAAGAAAAATTCTTACTAACTACTACCAAATGAGTCAAATGTTACTCGACTAAACAATTATTTTTATAAAAATCTACTCAATAATTATCGACTCACATATAATCGGACGACAACGAATTACGACGGAAACATGCCTCATTTTATTATGTGTAAAATAAATATTGTTATAGACATAGTCAATTCACGTAAACGCGACAATAAAAAATTGTACCAAAATAATATCACTTTATTATTTGTATCGTATAGAACAGTTTGCGTAATCAAAATGTGTTCAGCAAAATGAAAATGGCACGCTCAAATACAAGGTCGTTCAACTGTCAACGTCAGCATGCAAATAAGCAAGTACACAAACCATTATCAGCCTTAATCGCTTCTTCGCCTCGTTGCTTGTAGCCGAATATGAGGTCGATCCACAAATGCAGATGTCTACAAACATATTCTGATTCCAAGGCCTCTCGAAGTTTGAACACGAAGTCTTCCGGCGACTTGGCCCAAGGTGGCAGTGTCACGTTGTTTACTTTTGAACCGTCGTGGCGTTCACCAAAATTTATTTCGTATTTGTTCATCAAAAAGTCTCCTTTGCCTTCGATATCGTAAAATTCCGGTACTAATTCCTATAAAGTAAAGATGTGGTTAGGCGAGAATAAACATGACAAAAATGTTAAACTTGACAACCGAGATGATGCTATGTTGTTACACCTGTTACTCGTCATTTGTGAATTGTTTATTTAAAAATATTTTAACGCGATTGTATATTTATATGTGGAAACTGTATTGGATTGTGCGTAGTTTACCTGTAGATTAATTATTATTTTTATTTGTATCTGTCTATTTCCCTAATAAAATAAACAGATATACTATAACTAAACTCGGTTACAAAAATGACGGGTCAGTCACATAAACCCGAATATCTCCCGAACTACGTATACCATCCTAATGAAACGAAGACTGTTCAATTGAGAATTTAATTATACAGATAAAAAATAAAATAAAACTTAAATCTAAACTCTAACTCTTAACTTATCTCTAAATTAAAAAAAAACTAAAGTAGACATATTTTTCTTAAGATTACATTTTTTTATGATTGTTTTTTTGCTGCTTTTCATCACTTTCTTCATTTAATACTTTGTATTGCTTCCACGAGCTCTTCTGACAGCTTCCAGGCGATTAGGCATGCTGTACACCAAATTTCGGAGCCGGTGCTGAGGAATACCTTCCCATTCCTCCACCAGTGCTTGTTTGAGCTCGGGAAGCGTGATTGGTGGGGGGTTTCGACCTTTCACGCATCTCTGAAGCTCGTCCCAGGTGTGCTCGATGGGGTTTAAGTCCGGGCTTCGCACTGGCCACTGCATGAGTTCGATACCGACCTCTTCAAGGTAGTCATGTACAATTCTGGCGGTATGGGGACGCGCATTATCATGCATTAATATGCCATGCCGGTCCATCCTGGCCATGAAAGGACCTACATGTTCATTGAGGATCTCTTCCACGTACCTCTCTGCATTAAGAGTTCCATTTTGAATGAGTACCAGCTCGGTGCGGGCCTCAGTAGAAATCCCAGCCCAAACTTGTACGGAGCCTCCACCGTACGCCACTTTTTCCTCCACACACGCTTGATGGAAGCGCTCCCCTGGTCTTCTGTACACCAACTGCCTACCATCATGCTTATAAAGCATGAATTTAGACTCGTCCGTGAACATTACCCTAGACCAATCGTCTAGTGTCCAGTTTAGGAGCTCGCGCACGTATCTCTGTCTTGCAATTCGATGTCCCCGTTCCAGTTTGGGGCCATTTGCGGGCCTCAATGGCTTCAAATTTGCTTCAGCAAGACGTCTTCTTACTGTTTGAGCGCTTAAATTGCCACCTCCAAAGCGAACAAAGTGAGTTTTTAGACCAACAGCAGTTTGAAAACGATTTCGGAGCATTGTAGCCACCAGTTGTCTGTCTTCCCTGGAAGTTGTGCATCTTGGCCTGCCATTTCCTGGTCTTCTAAGGTGTGATCCGGTCTCTTGGTACCGCTGGACTACCCGCTGAACAGTCGACAAAGATACACCAATGTTTCTGGCTGTTTCACGCTGGCTCCGCCCAAGTTCCAAAAAAGTTAGGATTCTGGTACATTCCTCTAGCGTGACTGCCATGCTTCACCTCACAGAATAATAATTATGCACGTGGAAGACGTTCACGATATTTTTTTTTTTGTGACAGAATAGAAATGGAAAGCATCTATAATGAAATAAATTAAAATAGTCATTTTTTTAAATTTTGTTTTTCTAATGAAGTTTTTTTCATGAACCAGTTTAAATAATATGCTATTAGAAGCGCAACTAAAAAGTCTTTATTCTGTTTTTTATTTCATTGATCTAACTTTTACAGTTCTGGAGGTATTTCAATTTTTGTGACTGACCCGTAATTTTTGGAACCGAGTGTATATTAATAACGGCGTTAGTAATCAAATAATAAGTCATAATCGGGACTATAGCTTCTGTATATACGTACAGGTATGGCTATAGTATAAGTTAGTCTCGGTATTAGAGAATGCTAATAGAGATGTCAGATGTCTTAATTGGAAGCTCACAAATTTAACTTGAAAATTGATCGATAAAACATAAATTTCGTAAGGCTGACATAAAAAGCTTGAATGCTTTATATAATTAAGTTTTTGAATGTGGATTAAAATTATAAATTATATTATAAGCAACGTAATAGCGTAGTGGTTTAAGCGGTCACCTCGCCCCTTCCTACTGCGCTAAAGTGTTGTAGGGTTCGATCCCCACATGGGACATCACTTTGTGTGATTCAAAAATTGTTGCTCTGAGTCTGGGTATTCTTTGTGTCCGTTTCATGTATGTTTGTAAAGTCCCCCGCGACACAGGATATTGTACTAGTACGGGAGTGTAGTAGTAGTATCCAAGTAAGACTATATAACCAGGTAGGAAATCTACAGTTCTACTTTATATTTGTCAGCTTATCTCCAGTCAATACTGATCCTTGTTGTTACAAGCCTATTCATCAACATTATTTATTCATTATTGCCTATTGCCATCCACTTGAACGAATGTCTATGGCAATCCACATCCACCCATGTCTATTATACAACCCACAAATTAATTGCCTTTCTACAGCGTAACAACTACAGATCATATCTTATCTAATATTTTACTTATAGCACAATATAAATACAGTATTAGATATCTAAATCTTTTCTCATAATGATGACAATATATAGTACGTTTACCTTAAAATCTGACATATTTCTAAGACAATTATTGTAGACATCTTTGACTGAATTGAACATTCTATCCGGATGATCGAACCTTCCGTTTTGTAAACACAGCATATATTTGGGATATTTGCGAACCTGAAAACAGAAACCGATATTAATTTTTGGGTAGATATATTTAAAGATAAATACTCTATATTGCTTGCCAGCAAAGTCCAGTACAGTCTAGAAATATAGATCCCACCAAAAACATTTTACACAGGTTTAAGACTCAATACAGAATTAAACTTCGAACTTAAAATTGGAGTTGTAAATTCAAAACTGCTGTCATTTTTTTGATTAAATTATTTAGATAATAAATGACTGCAGTCGTTGTTAATTGGTAACCAGAGGGTTTCAACTCCCTTCTAGCGAACGAGACGGAGGAAGGAACTAGCACGGAAGGAAAGAGTCCCGTGCTGCCACCTGGCCTCGTGGTATATGAAGCCTGCTGCTAGGACGATCAACGAACCATCATTATAGCTCGTTTGTCGTCCTAGCTGCAGCCGTGGCAATGGCTCGGCGAGCGACTTCGGGCGAGGGCCGACTCCTCGCGGATCTCATTTGACAATAAAATAGGAACTAATTCGAAATAAAATCTTATTTAAAAGATCAACGTATAATATTTTACTTGAATATAAAGGGTTATAAATAAGTTGCCTCATTACAATTGTCACAACGTCTAAATTAGAATTTCTTACACAATATTTATTATAAACGTCATAGTATACAGTCGTAACATAAGATAACCAAATATGGTATGACCTTGTTTAGAGTACAACCATACAATCATTTTAGCAAATTAGCATTGTAGTTTATAAGTTTATTTTACTGGACGGCTCATTCATGTTTTGAGTGTACATAATTAAAACCAAGGACTTTGTAAGTGTGTTTGAATATGTTCACGTCAACATTAGTATATTTTTGTGGTTAATAGTAGTAAAGAATTAATCTTAACCTTTGTAATTTTTCTTATAAATGAATACGTAAAAAGAAGTTATTAGGTATATCCATTTTCAGCAAATTTCGCACACGGAGAAATGTAAAATACGCAGAAGAACTATAGATAGCTAACATAAAAATAAGTGTTATAAAATTTAGAAACATGATCATTGTAACATTCATAAAGGAAAGGAAGGGGATACTCAAAGGGCAGTAATTAACTTCTGTCCCTTAAGTTGCAGATGTCCGTGCACGGCAGTAGTCACTAACAATCTTTGCCTCGATTCTACTATTTTACGTTAATGTACAAGCCACTGTCATTCCATTAACACGCTATTGAGATGCCACTGCCATCGGTCAAAATATCGGTATTCTACTAAAATAAATTCACAGTGTCAATAGACTGTGGATGTAGTGACAATGGCTCAATGGCTGGAAAATTTAATATGTTATTTGCCTATTATAATTTAAAATGTACCGTTTACCAAATTATTACAAAGACATCGCGACATTTGTATCAGTGGCAGTTCAAGTCATCGGAGGCCATTGGTTTTACATAGTAGAATGCGAAAAGTGCAAAACTATGCCGACGACATTCCATCGACAGTATATTAACACAATATTAAAATAGCAGAATTGGGGTACTGGTGACCCACCTGCTCATTTGCCTCTATATCATAAAATGATTTTTTTCTCCTGATAGCCTGTTGGTTTAGTGGATAGCGAACCTGACTACTACGCCAGAGGTCAAGGGGTTGATTCCCACCCAGGACAAATTATTGTGTGATGAGCACGATCATTTGTTCTGTTTCTGGGTGTACTTTATCTATAATATGTATGTATTTTTATACTATATTATTATTATTATTATTTAGAAATATTTAAGTATGTTTATAAGCAATCTAGTTACCATAGTACAGGCTCTGTATAGTTTGGGATTAGACCGCCGTGTAAGATGTGTGAAAATGTTATTATTATTATATCCAGTAAATAACTAAGTTCGCCAGATCTTAACAAGTTATAGGATAAGTAACGCACAAGTGACACCAATGTTGTTAGTTACAGACACAAATAATTGTTTAACATCAGTTAAAATTGAAAAGTTTAGTTCTTGAAATAAAAAACAAAAGAAAGTAATAAAGCCTGTATTATTAAAGTAAGCAAAGACACATTCAAGACCCATTTTTTGGCAACTATAATCTGTTCAGAGGGCCGAGTGCAAGTTTATCACGTAAATATTTATCCAGAGTGGGAATCGAACCCACGACCTCAGCGTAGCAGTCAGGGTCCAGAACCCCCAATTCTACCCTACTACTGGGTAAGCCCAAGTACTAAAATTATAAGTAAAATAATTTTGGTGTATTTTATTAAGCGATTAAGGCTGCACACGAAAGCCTATACAGTGCACTGTACTGCATCAGTTACACTCTTGCTATCGAGATACCAGTTAACAGTATTATTTGTTCATACTAGAATAGAAATATCATCTGACACATTTTATTTAGAGGAAATAACTAACCGTATATATTCGTGTTCGTATGACTAGCTGACGTAAATTTTAATCAGTTTATTGATAAATTTTCAACGGCGAGGGAATTATAATTTTTGTCCTCATTCGTTGAAGTCAACTCAATTCACCGACGAAACGCAGCTGATATAATAATAATATTCTGCCACATTCACACAACGTCATCTAATCCCAAACTAAGCAGAGCTTGTGCTATCGGTACTAGACAACTGATATAAATACATATATACTTTTATTTTGTAAATACACACATATTATATATAGAAACACCCAGACTAAATCAAACATTAAATGTTCATGCACACAAATGTTTGACTTAAGCGGATATTGAACCCGCGACCTTTGGAATAGCAGTCCGTTACACAAACAACTACGCCATCCGGTCGTCGATATTCATAAGACAAAGGGTGACATACTACTTTCAAGCATTTGACTGCCTGAGAGAAAATTATTGACGAAATTTGTACCTGGCTTGTGGATTAATAAGCAATTATATATTCAGTTTTCACTTAACTTTCTTATTGGATTCGATATTGATCATAGCTAGAGCATAGTCATTCCTTGCACCTTCCGTCGGTCATCTATATACAATGTAGCATGTATTATAATAAAATACTTACTAAATAAAACAACACGAGGCCAGGTGCCGAATAATGTGATCCATACAAAAATTTTGGGTCACTCATTTCATGGTATCTTTCCTTCAGTCTCTCCAATCTATCTGGGTTTAGTGCGCCCATTGGTTTCGACAGATCTCTGAATGTTTCCGATTTATTAAAATCTAACGTTTCTGAAGTGTAGTCTGCAACTACCCATGGAAATACTGGGTACTGGGTGAGGTCATTTTTGCTTCTATCTGCAAGACTAAAAATAATAAGAACATTTTTAATTAGAAACATTAAAAGAACAATTTATTTTAAATAAAAATAATTCATCTATCTATAGTAATAATATAAAGCTGGCAAGTTTGTTTGGTCGCACGCTGTAATCTTATATCATCATCATCATCATCAACAGCCTTTAATAGTCCACTGCTGGACACAGGCCTCTCCTTAGAAAGGAGGTTTTGGCCTACTATACCACGCTGGCCAGACGGGTTGGTATAGGGTTTGTGTCAAGTTTTCCTTCTCTCTGCAGTGCTGTTGTTCTGCCTAGTTTTCTCCCTTAGTCGGCTCTTACGACACCCACGGGATAAATAGGGGTGGTGACATTCCGTATTCTTAATCCGTCACCACACGGAATCTTATAAATCTTATATGCCTTTTGGGATATGTAGACGAAGTTGATCAGGTCAGCTAGTCCAGTCCAGATAGTGAATTGTATAACGATAATAACTCGAGCGTAGTAATAAACAGTTTTAGACCCGTACGTAGTTCGGGAACAGCTGAGAGATAATCAATAGTAACTACGACATAACTCTGGAAGAGCGATAAAGTCGCTAATTTGTATTGTTTACAAAGCTAGATTTCATTGTATGGCCAAAGATGTAATGTCCACAAGTAAAATGTAATGTCCTTCAGTGTACAATGTCTGGGGGTTGAAATAGAATATAAATTTAATAATTATTCTCGCACCCCCGTGTTGGGGGTCCAAGTGAAACAGTAAGTGTCCATGGACCTCCTAGAGACCATGCGGTGGCTTTAAGTGGAAAGAACCCACCCAACTAGCCGCACAGTACCTATATTTATTGATTGGTAAACTTTTCTTACAGTATTTGCTGAAAAACGGAATCTATTAAATATGACATTACAGTATATACGCCGAGTCGCGTCGACGTTATTCAAAGAGTATAATATTTTTCTTTTAAATTAAAATTTTTGGTAGTAAAACCAACGGTGTACTTGATCAATCATATTACTTCGCCGAATATGGTGCAAATATTACGGGTAAGCTACGTGTTTAGTCAGACGGGACGGCCTATGACAGGACAATGGATTTAAAAGGGAACGATAACTTCATTCTAACTGATCGATGGCAATTTTATCATTTTTTATCTCTGCTTATATTATCATTTGGTATTAACATCGCGAGATAAGCAAGCTATGAATCCATTTTGCATATTTGGAATATTCGGACGAAATATCATACTGTTTAGAAATTATATGCACATATTTTAGCGGGTTTGATCCCGACGTAGGACTACATTGCGTGATCCACCAATTATTGTTCTGAGTCTGGGTGTACTGTGTGTCCGTTTCATGTATGTTTGTAAAGTCCCCCGAGACATAGGATTTATTGCTAGTTCGAGAGTTTTTAAGTTAAAGAAGTAGAAAAAACAATGGTTATAGCTTGTACCCATTTTATCATTACAAGCTATTTAACATATAGAAGGAATGCGTATAAATATAAATTTGTTGAAACACGTTGATTTAGGCTCGAGATCACCTGCCGGTCAAATTTAAACCTTACTTCATTAAATTTTGCATGTTTTGTTTTGCCATTGTACTGTGTACTGTAACGGGTCAACAAATATACTAGACCCGATTTTTTTTCGTAAGGAACCCCTCGGACAGTGGGAGGTTCCACCGGACGGTCCGTGTGGTGTTTATGTCGGACTCGAACCGACTGAAACTTTTTTTGCGTGTGGAAACCCTCCCGGGCTGTCACCCCACCGGGGTTTGCGGCGGAGTGGTGTGTCGTAATCGGACCGACTATAACCACACGGTGTGTCACTCTGTGCTTGTAATAGAAGGAATCCGGGAACTGCTGTTATTAAGATATCCAAACCCTCCTAGCACCTACCCGCAATGGCGCGGCTGGCCGTTATTGCGGATGAGCCGAGTCCTCACTGCAATTGCAGTGGTGACAGGCGGGACTCAATTCCCTCCTAGCGATCGAGTGCAGGTACTTTACGAAGCAGACGTGCCCGGAAAGGACCTGCGTCAGTCGGAAGGAAAGGGTACCATGCTGCCGCCCTGCCCACTCAACGATAACCGGCTGGACCAGATTTGAAGAAAGCTGTCGGAAGTGCTCGTTGAAGAGCCACCTCCCGTCCAGAATCTAACATATTCTAACATTTTAGTACTACTATCCTTTTACGTATCGTACGTACTTTTATGACACTCGGGAAATCCCAGGAACAAAAAAAATAAACCTAAAAAGTCTTGGAACTCTCAAAGAATTTTACATGTACTGAATCTTCTCATAATCAAATATTTAAAATATTTACATATGTAAAAATGATCGGTAAGGAACTTCAGGCGATTTGCAATTATGAGCAAACGTAAATAACAAAATGAAATTTACTATTGTAGGTTTTGACGATCTGTTAAGCAATTTTGAAACGAACTATAATAATAGCTCTTCCCCATAGTAACTAACTGATAGTTACCGAGATTAGCGCGAATGAACAAACTAAAACCCCTCCAGTTTAATGTTATTAGTATAGACAATACAGATAACCTCTTGATTATTGAAAAAAACGTACGATAGTGTTGCAGATTTTTAACGAGTATTTTTTTTTTCAAAACCTACAGATGGTTGTTGAGCGTAACAATATGTATGTAAGTCTGTTAGTTTAAACGTAACTATTACTACGTTACTACGTTAAAAGTAGCTTAATAACGATAACCTCCCACATCTGACACACGGCCGCCTGATCACAACCTAGGCAGAGCCTGTACTATGGTAACCAGACTGCTGATAAACATACTTTTATTTTTATAATTCTTATTTATCTTTAGAAATAATTTTACTTTGATCACACTTACCAATTCAAGTACATTAAATAATCGTAGTTTGAGACAATGCCATTTTGCCACTGCAATGTCATTTCCTCAGTGTGTACACTCTCCAAATGGACATGTGGCGATTCCTGCAATATACTGTATATTCTATCTCTAGCTCTGTCCGACTGGAATGTTAAATATATGTGAGGCACTGAACTCTCCTCAGCGCTGTAAACTTCTAAACCCTGAAACAATATAATAGATACCTTTACAGAAAAGATTACGATAATCGTTACATATTTTTACCTATGATATAAGGGGGCAAACCAGTAGACGGGTAACAAAACTTAAAAGTCACAAGTGCCTCAAATTTTTGAGGTGCCACTCTTTTCTCAAGGGTTTGTAGGACGTATGGATAATGAATTACCGCAGACGACAATTTTTTTTTTCTATTTCTGTATGATATGGGGAGGCAAATGAGCAGACGGGTCATCTGATAGTAAGTATCTACCGGCGCCCACGGACAGCTGCATTTCAAGAGTAACATGTATGATTCCACCCTTTTGATCCCCCCTTCCCCTCCCATCAGAATCAGGGGGAGGAGGGGGGAGGTTGAGCTCTTTTATCCTGTCTTAGTTAATGAATAGCAACGAAAGAATTGCTTAACACAAGTTTTCCATGAGGCCGTGGTATCACTCCGGTAGAGCCGGCCCATTTGTGCAGTATGACTCACCCAAGGTAAGTTGTAGTAATGGAAATTATTGCTACTTTTAAATAATAATCATATAATGAACTGATCGCTTTAAGCCACAGCGATTTCACCTGTGGAAAATCACCACTGTGACTGGGTCATAGCGACCTCTTTTTTTTAGACTTAGACCTTACGCGAGTCTGGCGCTAGGGTATTCATAATTACACGCGTAAGTCGCATTGATTTAATAAATTAGTCACAGGTGTGATATATATTTTTAAATTACATGATTTATCACAGGTGATTGTGATTATATTCCATTCCTAGTAAGTTATATGTTGAAATTCAATTTTCCTTGATCGGTCACATATCACTTACGACTGGACTGGAAGTCCAGTGGTTAGTGATCCTAACTACTACACCAGCAGGTCAATTCTCGTAATAACAATTCGGTCTCAATTCGGTTCTGATCAACTTACGATCTCACAACTTTCATAAAAGGTATTTTCGTAGTATTAGCTGTTATTACGAGAATTGGCCTTCTGGTGTAATACTCAGGATCACTAACCACTGGACTTCCAGGGCAGTCGTAAGTGGTATGTGACTATGTGACCAATAGTAGTATTACTAAGACTAGCAGACTACCGATTCAATTTTCAGTTACAATAAGATATAATCACATTACATTGAACGTTGGATGTTTAATACTTTACTACGAAAATAACTTTTATGACAGTTGTGAGATCAAAAGATCAGAACTGAATTGAGACCGAACTTTTATTACGAGAATTGGCCTTCAGAGGTCCATCAGAACTCAATCGATTCAATAATATTATATGGGGTGCACAATCGTTTGTTCTGTGTCTGGATGTAATTATTTTATAATAAGCATGCACTTAGAAATATATAATGTATCTATAATAATTTTATCGTCTAGTTACCATAATACAAACTATGTGTAGTTTGGAATCACCCGGTCATGTGTGAGATGTTTCAAGCTTTTTTTATTATTATATAGTTTGCCTGGTTTACCTATTAATTTAGTACCGAATATTATATATTTAGTACATGTTTTTTTTGGGTCTCGCGTCACCGATATTTTCAAAGCGTAGTCAAATTAATACTTTAGCAGCATTAAAACTCTAGTCTTACAACCGTGAGGATGATTCTATCAATGAGTTGAAGGGCTTTAATAATATACCAAATTTCGACCATTACTGACGTATTGGTAAGATGAATGAAGTTATTTATTTCTAAAATAAGTAAAACTGTCATTATATGCATTTTCCGTATAACGGCAGATCAACATAAATTTATCCTTAGAAAGGAGGTTTTGGCCTACTATTTTATATATATAATTATATCGAATAATTATTGTATTAAGAAACATATTGTTTAAAAGAAAAAGATCACTTCAGATTTTCTCCAAATAACCTTAGTATTCCGAATAACTAATATAAATAATAATCCGTGTGCGGAATATTAATTGTTCGGAATACTTAAAGGTTATTTGGAGAAAAAATGTAGTAATAATCGTTTAATGTAATTCTTAAGAAAATGAACAATGTGAAACATATAATAATCCGTGTTCGAAATATGCCTTAAATGGGTGGAAATACTTTTTTCAGGTATGATATGATTTACGCTTTTGCTGTATAATGTAAATGATGGATAGGTAATAGGTACTTTAAATACATCCAATAAAGATATTCTTTTTTCGTACGTACGTTACGTACCTGTGTACCTACTGTTATTCGAATTGGCTCTATTGTTCAATGTCTTTTACACTTCATAAGTTATTAAAATAAAGAAGACAGACTGTGAAAAAGGTTTAAAATACAAAGATATTCATTATCAATAACCTTGTGATGGTAGCATCTAATATTTTGTTTAACAATTTGCCAGATGTTTCTTCGTGTTTGTCATGCAATTGTTTACGCAAGTGTCATGCCAAAGTATTGTTTATATTTACAATTGACGTTACAGGAGTGAATACCAACTCATTTTTTACAAAGTTAAATAAATGAAATCTCACTTAATTTCTTAAGCTTTTTATATTATAATAATCAACACAGAGTATATGAGATTTATAAATTACATGCGATATGCCACTACTCCTTCGGTACTCATCATATGCTGTTTATAATAGCGAAACACTAATGAGCACAGAAAGGGCAATTTATGTGCTGATTTTAAGTGTACCCATGGGTAGCAATTCAGTAGCATTTGTTTTATCTTTTTACTATTATAAATGCAAATATTTAAATGGACGTTTGGTATTCATTAACGCCCAACGGCTGAATGAATCTGAATGAAATTTAGCACAGAGATAGATTATAATCGGAAAAGTTGATAAACAAAATGGAGGTCGACGCAAGTGAAGCTCCGACAAAAAGCTAGCAGTTAGTGAAATTAAAACATGATTAGTTATTAAATAGGTAAAGAATCGTGTTAAAAAAATATGTTGAAATATTTAAAACAAACTTATAAAAGAAAAATATCTAATGCAAGTAAAATAGTAAAACACAGATACATACAACTTGCCTTAGTAAAAATCTTCTTTTATACATCCTCCTCAAATGTGCCAGCTTCAATTTCAGAACGGGACTCTGAAAAGGAAACATCAATAATTATTAAAAAATTACATGTTGATATTAGGATTCCCCTGCTTGTAGCACAGAATCATATCATACGTAAATAAACATTGACAAAGGCAGCTGCGCAAATATTTCTGAGAATTGCAACATAAGTTTGTATGAGTCATGATATACTAACTCATAACTAATATGATATGGATCAATAAATTTAATACTACTGTATGTAAAGAAACATTAATTTCAATATTATGTGTAATACAATTATAAACTTCTAATGAGTAACACAACTGATTCATTTAAAGGACCTAAAAAAGTTATGCTTAAAAACCATTCAAAATTATATATTCATTTTTAAAATGTAAAACCGACAGTATAAATATACGAATGGTGTATTAGTTAAGATTAATTAAAATTTTATTCAACAAGCGGCGTTCGGCGTAAAATGTACTAGGACATAAACAATTTTGATCCACATTTTCCCGTGTAGCTACTATAGAAGTGGAGAGTTTTTTAAGATATTTTATTATATAATAACTTTACTTTTACCAATACTTATCATTAAAATATCTATAACAACTGAGATCTAGTAGCATAGTAGCATTTTATAGATCAATGCCCTAACGGTATCGCAGTAGGTTTTATTAGCAATTTGTTTTCGTATAATGTCCATGCATAATATTTTGAGATTTTAACGACAATACTGCAGTATTCAAATTAATATGTGACACTGATTTTCATTCTTTATTTAAATATTACTGTCTACACGTAGTTTTACTCAAATAGATAATATTTTTTCAAATTTTACCAGTGAAGCTAGATTTTATAACGGCTTTTTCAGTTACCATCGTTTTAGCCGTCATGAGGCGTGGACTCCGTTAAGCACTCAGCAAAACACCAAAAATCCCTCGTAACAGTTCGCATATGATAGGTAACTGACGTGTCTTAACACGCACTTGGGCGGTTTTTTTTAAATTATTTATTTTCACGATAAACAATTTATTCTGCTAATCAAATGCGCGTGTATCAAAAACGGAATAAACGTTTAACTATTGCAACAAAATAACACTGCAATTGTTTTTATTTACTATTTTATTTGTATATCTAGTAATTTGAATAAATTAAGTAGGACTATATATTCGATTTAAAAAATGTGCTTCTTTTATAAGTATTTGACGTTAGGTCCTTGGCCTACTTAAAAATTTAATTAGGAATCCATTTAGAATCGGAGTAGAGGCTTCATTATGGTTATCCGAACTATCGATATTTTGCAGTTATAAAATAATATTTTTTTTATTTGCAAAGATAGAGACAGGATGATACTACGAAAAATATGTAAAGGTCTAATAGAGTATAACGTAGACACTTCAGAAGTACGGAACGGAAGTCCTCAACGGCGTAACAGTAAATAAGCTGCTATTACGCTTGCCCACGCAATAATGTGACGTGTTGCGTAACGGAGCTGAAACCCAAAAATTACCTAACCGACTTCAAAAATTATGTTTGCCAAACGTTTATATACAGTTTTTAGCTTATTTACATATATTATCTGTACATAACCTTTGTCAATAGATTTATGAACCATTGCAGCGTTATATTATGGATGTGGTTACATGACTTTTTAAAACTGTTGTCATATTTTGCATAATTATTAATATTTTCTGTTCTTTCAAACGTCTTAATTTCAACTCTTTTTGGTCTCGTTTTAAGAAATGAAATTAGGGAAGATTATATACTACATCGCCGTTGGATGCGGGCAGCACAGGACCGGTTGTTGATGCAAACCTTGGGAGAGAATCTTGGATCCAGATTTAAACGATGTATTTATGATTTAAGTTTTAATTGATTGTAATGTGTTGTGCATTTAATAAAAAAACAAACGAGATAACGCTATACGCATAAGAGCTGAACCGAGTGAACAGTAATAGAACGGAGGGCTTAGTGTGAGTTTATGTCACTTCTACTCGATCGTCACTGTGACCGCGTTTGGCGCTGTGATTGGGCCGCGCTGTAATCTTCACCAATCGCTACGCCGAACGTGCTCTCTGTCGAGAGCGAGTAGAAGTGAAATAAACCTACACTAAGCCCTCTGATCAGTAACTATAAAATTTTACTGTGTACTTAACTTGTTGATTGCTGTGAGCAAGGAAAATTATGTACTTCAAAAAAAAAACTGCCAAGGTAACCCAAACCCTTGATCACATCATGAAAATCAACAGCCTTTAGTAGTCCACTGCTGCACTTATGCTTCACTTTAAAAAAGTTTTAGCCTACTATACCATGCTGGCCAGACTGGCTGGTATAAGGTTTGTTTCAAGTTGACCTTCTCTTTGCAGTGCTGGTGTCCCATAGTGCGTAGTGTGCTCCCATAATCGGCTCTTACGAGACCCACGGTCCAAAAAGGTTTGGTGACCCTCCGTATTATTAATCGGCTACCACACGGATATCACACTAGTGGCGTCTCAACATTAATATCTTAATACACATCACATCATCACATTAACAGCCTTGAATAGTCCACTGCTGGACTTAGGCCTCTCCTTAGAAAGGAGGTTTTGGCCTACTATACCACGCTGGCCAGACGGGTTGGTATAGGGTTTGTGTCAAGTTTTCCTTCTCTTTGCAGTGCTTTTGTTCTGCGTAGTTTGCTGACTTAGTCGCCTCTTACGACACCCGCGGGATGAATAGGGGTAGCGACACTCTGTAATCTTAATCCGTCACTACACGGATCTTAATACGTACATAGTAAAACAACTACAATCACTAACTTGATTTGGTTGTGAACAAGGTCAGCCGTAACAGAGGCTGTTGTATAAAAACGATCTAATCCAATCATTTGCTACTTATTTTCTTTACTTTTAATTTACTTTTTGTTCACAATACTAAGGTGGTAAAACATGCTCAGCAAGTAACAATGAACGGTCACCCGAGCATATGATTTTTTTATTCTTTCTTTTCTTTTTATAAAGACAACTCCCGCATTAGGAATAATATATCCTGTGTGTGTTAACTTTAGTAACATCCAAGAAACGGACACAAAGAACACCCAGACTCAGAACAACAATTTGTGGATCACACAGTGTCGTCCCATGTGACCGACCGCTTGAACCACTACGCCATCCGTGCGTCAAATTGCGTCAAATCATACCACATTTATTTTATTAATCCTTTCTTTTCCAACCTACCTTCCAATTTATTCAATTTTCCAATTTTTTATTCCGAAAGTACACGATGGGGGCAAAAGAGTTGGTCTTCTTTTACGAGAGTGAGACCAAAATATAGTTGGCTTGGCAATGGGGTCGTTAATTGCGCCTAACCAATCGGAGATATAGGTATAAGTTTTATTTGTGTATCTAAATAAAATCTCTAGCATAGTGTGTACACTGTATGTACATTTCAGATTAAAGATTCAACAAATTGAACTAATTTTTTTTAATTATAGGGGGCCAAATGGGCTAATGGGTTACCTGATGGTAAATGACTACCGCCGTCGATGGACATCTGCAAGAGTCACAAGTGTCCTTTTGAGTCTCTCTCCCAGAATAAGGTTACCAGAACCCAAGCCCCCCTCCCCCTGGGAGTCGGGTTCTAGTAACCTCACTCACTCGGTGAGAAGCAACGAAACCACTGCTTAACACTGGTTTTATATAAATTTATATTTTAACGAATGGAAATAGCAACAATAGTACAATACACCAAGTTTCATACTAATTAAAAGTTTGCAGTAATGAATGAAATATAAATAATGCATTACTATTACATATTTCCTGTTGTAATATGTTATATACTATATTACTAAGGCATTATATAGTACCACATAGTAACCGTTTTTACTAATACATTCTTTTCTGCTTTCAATCATTTACTGGTGACTGTTTAAACCCTCGAGCATCAGGTTGGCAGCCATCATTTTATCGTAAAGAAGGGTGGGGTGCTTTTCAAGCTACTTTTTAAAATAAAAACTTTACTTCTATCAAAAATGATTTTTCTTTTTGAACTTATAGATAATTATTTTCTACTTTTAGTTCGGCTAGTTACAAAAGCGTGTTTTCAAGTTTTTTTAAAACTGAATTGTTTTAGTACGCTGTACACTTGAGCAAGAGTGAGAGTGGCATAGAAAGTAGTGATATATGCGGCTAAGTATTGATATATGATTATAGGCGGCTATAGACTGTAATAATTATCACATTCTATAGCCGCCTAGAGAAGTTACAATGTTTAAATTTTTACATGAAGAGACAAATTTTATTCATTTTCGTTTTTTGGTTTAGGTTTGGATTAAACGTTAAGATAATCTAAATATGTAGGCAGCTGACTTTTTTTTTTGTTGGGACTAATCCCACCCACACGCCCACCACTGTAACTCCTGCACACCAGGATCCACAGCAGTGACCCACGAACACACCGAGTTATGACACTCGGGAAGTCCCAGGAAGAAATTAAACTGTCTTGGATCCCGCAACGAAATTAGTCAGAAGAAAATTGGAGGAGTTGGAAATACAGTAAATCCACTTCAGCAGCCAGCCAGGCAGCTGACTGATGAATCTGGTTCTGACAATGATGTAGGTAATGTTAGTGAAATATTCCGCAAAAGTGACACTGCACAAATGTGATGATGTAGCACCTAAAGGAGTCAAAGCCCTATAAAGATATTACTCGTATAAGAACTCAATACTAGAGATGAAGATGAAGAGAAATAGTGATTTGGCCGAATAACGAATATTCGCAAGGGCAATATGATAAGCAAAATAAAAATCTTTGAGAGTAATGCATTCTTTTTTTTGTAATTATCTATTCGGTGTTCGGCCGAATAGTTCGGAATATTCGGTTTCATTGCTTCCACCTAACACTGTGTTACACATTCTAACATTATGCATGCCAGGTTATGAAAAAACATACCTTTCTTTTTTTTTATAAATCCTGTGTCATTATTTAAAAAGATAAATCTTTTTCTTTTTAAAAAGACAACACCTGCATGAGGAATATATATCCTGTGTCACAGGGGACTTTACAAACATACACGAAATGGACACAAAGAACAGACCCAGCACAGTAGGAAGTGCTAAGTTAACTGCTTAAACTACTATGCCATCCATGCAGTCAGTCAGTCATTTACTTTTAGAATGTATAACAGGAACTATATAGTGGCAAATTTTAACGCATACTGGAAGGACCACATTGGGATAGCATATTTGTGACGCCGAAGCTCTATATGGGTATAATTGGCTGGCAATATGCATGTGGTAGACAAAGCATGCATTGTCTTTGGGGTGCTTTGATTACAGGTTACTATCAGATTTGTATATGGAATGTTGTTTTAATAAGACCTGTGAATACTGTTGTTGAAATAAGACCGTTATATCCTCACCATATCTCACTTCTTTTACTTTCATTTTTATGGAGTGTTCTGACAGAGTAGACATGAGCAAAAAAAGTTTGATAAACATGAAAGAAAAGAGAGACTAAATTAAAAGACTTAAATGAAAAAATATGTTGCACAGGCTTGGAAAAATGGACAAAAGGTAGGAAGAGTGAGAGAGAGATAGTTTTCTAAATTTCTGACACTAAATTTGGTTTGGTTTGAAATAAATAATCAGCATGTATAATGTCTAAGTCTGTTAGAGAATCAAATGTTAAAGGTAAACAATACTCACACTTTCAACATTGCTGAATGGTTGGAAGTATATTGTGGTAGGTGTTAAGGCCAATTTACCCTGGTGCCTCACAAGAGGTGATATTTTTTCAGCCTGAAGCTCACATACAATTTGTTCTGTAAAGTCATCCATCATCACTGGATCAAATTCCATCCTCATATATCTTGAATGGAGGATAGTAGCTACCATACTGTTGTGTTCCGGAGCATGGAGAGTGGAAGCTCGTTGCAATTGTTGCATCTGACACAAGCATTCCTCAGCTGATGCAAAATCAAAGAAGACAAAGAAATCTTTGTCTTCATAAATAAATTTGTAAGGTGCCAGAATGTTTTCTTCTAGCATTTCTGCATACATTTTCATTTTAACTTTGATTACATTATTTTTTTTATCAATAGATTCAATTATTGTTATATCGGAACAATCTTTGAATTGCATCTTTATCAGAGGATGGGCCCAGTCCCTTGGCTCAAATACAAGGGATTTAGAACACAGTTTCAATCTTCCCTGTTGTGAATTTTCATTTTTCAAAGCAATGTGATTAAGTACACATGAATAGTCTTCAAAATAAATTTCCCCAGGCTCTAAGAGCAGCATTGAGAACCTGTAAAATAAATTTCAACAATTGATTGATTTTGGCCTTAGGCATCATAAAAAACCAGGAAGTACTTCAACATCAATAGAGCAAATAGACAAAAAATAGAATATTATTTTGTTTGTTTCTAAAGTTACTTTAGAGTAATATTTAACTAACTTTAAAAAAACTTTTAGTGAAGTATCAGAGACAAAAGACGTACAATTTTCATCCCTACCATTTGAGTTTATAATAAATTATGTACTGTAAATAAATCCGTAACATTTACAGTGTGACCGTTATAAAGTTGCACAATGCAATATGACTCATTTCGATCACAGAATATTTCAGTAAACGGTGCTTATAAAAATGTAGGTAATAATTTCGGATCTTACCTCGACTTATCCATTGCAGATTAGTTAAGATCTTCATTAATAAAAGGGTTCTTAATTTATCATTCGCCCTTTATTCATACTCTAACTAAACAACACTACTTATAAGGCCAGATCACTATAAAATAAAACTTTCACCTTCGTGTTTATTGTTTACCGCACGTTTACCGCTTTGTGTTGAATTGAAAATGAACAATGTCAAAGTTGTCAGTTGTCACCTTGACGCTGTCAAAAATCGTCATTTTCTGTATGTTGGTACTCATAGTTTGATTTTTTAACGTTTGACAATACAATCTGTGCCTAGGATTCTGGCACTTTAAGTTTTAAGTAGACTTTTAATTTAATGTTCCTTTTCATTAGGAAAATTATTCATAAGGAATCCTAATACTTAATTTAATGCATCATGCCTTAGGAATAATTCTTAAATTTTTCCTATTATTTCTATAAGTTTTTGCAGCTTCATTCACCCTATATTAATTCGATGTTATACAGTTCGGTCTATTTTGCCATTTGTGAAATGATACAAACAGACTACCAGCACAGAATAAACTGCCTCAATCAGAGAACATGTATTCAGTTTTGATTCTGATGATATTTAAAGGATCAACATTCTTCCATCTTTATTGTCATTTTTTCAGACTGCTCTAGAGCTCGCCTCGCGTTTAAGCAGTCCTCACCAACTGAAACAATGTGTCTAGCAAATAAGGTGTAACTTCCTGTAGTATGATATATGTCAAAGTGTCATTATCAAGGGTGCAAGTATACCGACACATTAAATTGTTTCGTAAATTGTTTAGTTCATTGATATAATACTTACATAGATGAGTAATTACCACCTAAAATCGTTGCTACTGCACATCTGTCCACAGGCATATGCGTAGCAAACGTCAATTCAGTGTTCAATGTGGCGTCAACCGAGTTGAACATAGCGACACATGACAGTAACAATCGCCAAAATGGGTAAATGCGTAGTGAAAGAATGCGATTCAAGGTCACAAAACCATAATAAATCATGCGGAATTACTTATCACGTGTAAGTTTATGGTTTTTGTATTGAAAATATCGTAAATAAGGCTATAATTGAAATAAAACATTGATAATTGTAATTTAGAATCAGTGTTACCATTAAAAAATCATTTTTGTTTTCCCACATTAGTGGGAGAATTTATAATTTATGAAATAATATGCTTTATACTGTTTTTAAATATTTTGTCAATAATAATAGAATATAGGAAGATCGGTAGTGGTTAGGGCTGAATCGATCACTTTTTTTAGGGACCCGTTGAACGTTCACCTTCTGCCAAACTCACAGCGCTGGAGACTTTTGTATAAAAGAATTAATTCATTCATTCATTCATTTTTCTTAATTAATTATCAAATATAAATAACAATTGTACAAAAAAATTTATATAGATAAAATAAAAAAGTAAATAAATATAAATAAAAAAATATAAAAAACAAAAAAATTTTTATTTTTTTTATTTGTATTTTAAAATATTAAAAGAATTTGCAATACACCCTGGGGATTATTTATTATCAGTACAAGTTGATCATTCACTTTTACTATTAAATGCCATTATTTATACATAGGTAAAAATAAGATTGTATCATGAAAGTAAAATATTCACACAAACTTATAAAAAAAGAGTCTAAAAGACAATTGTATACAAAACTGATGCTTCATAGCGGAGTTTGATTTTACACTGAATATAAACCCTTTTAAACAAATATTTCTAGTTATTTTATTATTTATACCTATTCCATTCAATTCGAAATATATTATTTAAAATATTTAAATTAATTTATTTTATTACAAAATTGTTTAAAAAAAAAATTGTTTCTTGGTTGTTATGGGTAAAATTTCATACGGTAGTCAACACTGGCCCACCATCGTAAAGTTATGTCTTTGTCTTTGTCTAATCCGAGCGATGGTATTGTTCTTGTCTCGCGTGTAAATGAGACATAAATATGTTTACTTTCAAATGTTTAGTGGTATCAAAGCTACGTCGTCAAAGTTCAAAAGTGGTTACACTTTTTTCGACGTGTGATAATGAGGTTTGCTTCTCTAGTGTTGTTTTAACTCAATGGTTTAGTTTTAACAGTGACCGAACGATTCTTTAACTAAGAATCATAAAATTAATAAATTGCGAGCAGGAATACAAGGAAAAAAGGGCAAAACTTTTCGAGTATTGAACATGGGAGAACTAGTAATAAACTCAAAGTTTAGCACCCTAGGTGCGCGAGTCGGACTACCACTTACCTTTTTTTGGTTGTAGGTACTAATCTTAATTTTTTATGTAAAATATCAGCGTCATGGACCACCATACAGAAGATAATAAATCTTAACCTATGAAGTTGGATATTTTTACCAAACCAGCTTTTTAAGATTCAATTTTCAGTGGATTGGCGCTCAATTCCAAATTCAAATAAATTTAATTCGAAAACCATGTTATTTTAATTTAATATTCAGTCATTCATCAGATCGTGTTTTATTTTTGTGAAATTGTGGTAGTTTTTGGCGCCATGGATAAACTGGAAATTCGTACAATTTACGAATATGAGTTCCTACGTGGAAATACCACTTCGCAAACAAAACAAAATATTAACGACATGTACGGGCCTAGCACTGCTTGCATAAACAAGGTCCACCGATGGTTCAATCGTTTTAGATCTGGAAATTTTGAGTTGAAGAACGAGCCTCGCGGTCGGCCAGTACCATAGTCGACAACGATAGTGAAAGCGGATCCAACTTAATCTACGGCTGAGATTGCTTCGGGCTTTAGAGTTAATGTCAAAACAACATAGAAGCACTTGCGTCAAACCGGAATGATATAAAAGCAAGATAAGTGGGTGCCACACGCATTAAACGACCATCAGCGATACTTACGCGTAGAAGCATGCCTAGCACTCTGAGGGAATTCTGATTAAAATTGTTACTTGCGATGAAAAGTGGATCCTGTACGACAACCGTATGAGTTCCTCTCAGTGGGTGACTCGAGTGCAGCACCTAATCAGCGCGCAAAAGAAAAGATTGGAGTGAAGAGTGGACCAGTGCCGGACTTGTGCATCACAGCTTGTTACTGAATTGCACAATAGTGACGGCAGATGTCTATTGAAAGGAATTGCAAAGAATGATGGAGAACCTTGCAACTCAACAACCACGACTGGTCAATCGCTCTTCCCATTTGCTTCTCCACGACAACGCACGAGCTCACACTTCACGACAGACCATCGCAAAGTTACAAGAGTTAGGTGTAAGCTCTCCGTCACCCACCGTACTCACCGGACCTTGCCCAAACAGATTTCTACTTTTTTTTTAATTTGCAAAAAAATTCAACACCCGAGAAGCTGTACAAAAATTGTATGGATAATTTAGGCCAGTACTTTGATTAGCTAAAATGAAAAAAATAACAAAAGTTTTATATTTAAAAAAAATGTACAAATCTCCAACTCATTGGTAAAAAACTATTATTAATATGTATAGTTTAGATTTCTCGCTAATATCTACCTTCTTCGCTAAACAAAATATTATGTAACAACACTGCCGGTGTTCTATTTGACATTTTTCAAATAATGACGTGCTCTTTTTAATTAGCGCCACTTTTGAATCTTAAGTCTGTGATTGTTTTCCTTGAGTTGATAAGATAAGCTTAATATTCATAAAAGTTAAAATAATGCAGGACGATAAAAATGCAATTTTTCAAATGCGTTTCCCACAAAAGCTGTGGTATTTACTGAATTTACGAACTGATGCCATATTATGGGGTGGTACTGGAAGAACCATTTTGTTGAATTACCGCGTCCTCCATAATTACTTACAATGTGATCATTCAATATTTAAAACTACTAACATTTCAAGCTTTGTGCGACAACTTAATTTATACGGCTTTCGTAAAGTTACTTCACATTTACAAGATCCTCTTTGTAATTCAAGTAATCCATACATGCATGAATATGTTCATGACTACTTTCAATACGGGCGACCTGAATTACTCAGCAAAATAACACGTAAAGCATTGGCAATGAAAAGGAATTTTAAACCAAAGGTATGTCATCAACCTAATATAATGCAAATAGGTAAATATTTTCACCTTTTTTACATGTAGTTTAGTAATATTGTTTTAATGAGTTAATACTTTTGCAGAATTTGTACAGCAATGTTGAACAATTACTTTACCTAACACCACTTCAAAAGGCTCGCAGAGCCCTACATATAGCATTAAAGAAGGCTGCCCAAGATTTATATGTACAAAGTTCACCAAAGGAATTCTGTAATTTGAAGTTTGAATGTGACGGTAATGCTGTTTTACATCCATCATTGCTATGAAAGGATATACTTGCCTGGCTTGCTAAGTATATTTGCTCTTTTGCAGATTCCCAAGATGATTACTGTGAAGATGATGAGAACATAGAACTCGATTGGTTAATGACCAATGATAACACAAGTACAGAAAAAGCTCTCCCTGAAACAGGTTTTCCACCTTTACCCTATGGTTACCCACTTATACCCTATCTAAAACTCCTGATAATCCTTTCATTCCCACAGCCACTGATCCTGTTCCTAAGATTGAAATTACAGTTTCTATGAAAGAAGAGACACACAGCTACAGGTAAACCAAGGATTTTGTAACAATTGGTGATCATTATGTATAAATATTAACACTATAAATTTTCAGAAATACATCTCAAGATGCTCTGATGAACTTCAATGATGATACATGTCAGCACAGTAATGACAACTTTGCAGCACCATTTCTGAGCATGCCAGACCTTGACCCAGAACCCTCTGGAGAGAACTCTGGTGTTGAGTTATTGGGAGAGTTTAATATCGACAATGATGCTGATCAGGACATTGCTAGAAAGATTGGAGAAAAGGAAGTAGATCACAACTTCTTGAATTGTGTCCTTCCCTCAATCAGTACAGACCACATTGATGATGTCTCTATGTCTATGACTGAGGTACTTAACATTTTTTTATGATCCATAGAACATCTCCAAATATAATATTTTAGGAGACATCCTCGACATTTAAACTTTTTGCATTTTATTGTTTCAGAAAAATAATGATGATTCAGATCATTACCATGGGGAATGGGACCAAATGTTTAATGATATTATGACCAATAAAGGAAACAATCAAGAGTGTGGCTCTGATTTAAAAGAACTCTACTGTCAAATCTCCAAAACTATAGACTTGTTAAACTCTTAGTATAGCGATTAAATAAAATGATCTTATTTCTTACAAAGTTGTATTAGTGATAAAATAAATGTGTTACACAAAACTAATTACTTCTTCTGTTTTTTCTTCTCTGCCTCTTCTTCCTTTTCTTTCTCTATAATAGACACATAGGAGTTGATAGTATCAGAATCGAGCATTTGCATTGGCTGACCTCGTCTCATGACTGCTATTTCCAGATTTTTCTGGCCAGACTGCACAACTTCAAGAAGTGCACGAATCGCAAGCTGAAAGGACAAATATGCAATTGACAACAGGTGTATGGGTCACTGAAAAAATTCTATAGCCTTACTTTGTTTTTAAAAAGGCAACTGCATAAGGAATATATCCTGTGTCATGATGTACGTAACAAACATAGATGAAACGGTCACAAAGAACACCCAGACTCAGAACAACAATTTGTGGATCAAAAAGTGTCGTCCCATGTGGGGATCGGACCCACAACACTCAGCGTAGTAGTGAGCGGTGTGGCGACTGCTTAAACCACTACAACATTTGTGCAGTACTGTTATGTATGTATAGTATTACATACATAACAGTAATGTTCTGTAAATATATTATTAATAACAGTATGCAATCAATACACTTTATAGACATTAATATTCAATAAATTTGTTAAGGATTATTTGAATTCTCTTTTTCCTTTCCAATAGAAACTAAAAATAATAATAATATATCAAAATCACTGCACCATAATCACAGTAGGTATATTTGTCTATATAAATTTAATAAAACAAAAGATAAACTGCCTGCTAGGAAAACAAGAATGAAAAATGTTAAAGTTAAATTAATAAAAGTGTAAAGAGAGCACATTACACTACACTACACTTCTACTAACTATTTGAAACAGCTTTTGAATCCAAGTCTCTAGTATTGTATCTTGAATATAGTCCACTACTGAGTAACAGCCATTAAAGCATAGCTGTCCTCTTGCTGAGGAACAACTCACATTTGTATAACTGGTACAGTACAGTAAGTGGTTTATTGCCACCTTTAAAGCCATTTACTGTCCTAAATAAATGTAGACTTGCATAATAAAATCTTCTCTAACATATATTGAATTTTCTATGCAGATAGTCAACAATCATTAAACTATAACTACCATTTATATTGATCTATTGGAATAACCAATAGATGAAGCTTACTTATGATATTAATTACCTTAACAGCACCATTCTCTGATGCAACTTCCTCAGATGTGTAATTCTTTTCTAAGAATTCTCGAACAGTCTTTGCAGACCTACCAGTTGCATTTGCTTTCCATTCATAGTAGATACCTGAAGGTTCAGTTTGGAATAAATGAGGAAAACCGTCATAGTCAAAACCTCCGATCAAACATGATATACCAAACGGCCTACGTCCATTGCTCTGTGTGTACTTCTGTTTAAGACCAGCAATGTATCTTGTTATGTACTCCAAAGTTACGGGGTCTTCAACGGTTAGCTTATGTGACTGGCATTCGATTTGAGCCCTGTTGATAAGGATTCTAGCGTCCGCTGTCAACCCGGCGAATGCCATCACGACGTGATCATCAAGGAGACATATTTTTCTGACAGTTCTCTCTTCTTGCAACTTGGCAACAGACTTCTTTTCAACTCCTAAAACGACCACATCTGCACCCCTAACACCAACCTGCAATTAGTAAGCAAAAGCCCCATAATGTTACCCATCGGCAACTTCGTAAGTATAACCAACAACAATTACTTACTGCTGTGGAACCTTTGCGAACAGCTTCTTGAGCATATTCCACTTGAAGTAAATGACCATCTGGAGAAAATACTGTGATCGCTCTATCGTATCTAGCCGACATTTTCTTATTTTTGTTAGTAACTCAAATATTTTACAAATCACTCTGTCTAGCAGTAAACTGAATAGTGATGAGAAGAATGTTCAGAAAAATCTATTCGATTTTTGAATTCAATGAATGTTGTAACAAAAAAAAATCGATTAAGTATATCGTCGATTTCAAGTTAAAGTATAATTTAGAAAAGCTAATGGTAGTGGTTTGTTTGATGTTTATAAGCTTGAAAATTCGATTAATAAATTATTGCACCTAGTGTTGTGTAGATAATAATATTAAATAGACCGAAGGAGGTCTGCTACATACATATGTGTGCATTAATTTACTAACATATGTGGAGAAATAAGCCTTATTTAATGTTTCACTTGTGTGTTGAATTAACTGTGCTAATATAAATTCAATTTTGTATTTAGGTACGGTTCAATTTAATCGAATATACCCTGTTAAAACACCTTCCTATTTCTATACTACACTACTATCATCACGATGACAACGGTATTTTGATAAAATAACCATTCGTTCAGAAACACCTAAAGTTCAAAAAAGTTATTTTTAGAAAAATAAAGCTGTATATTAATATGATGTAAAAAATTAACTTTCCGTAATAAAATTTCACAATTAAATTAATTTGTAACAAAAATAAAATTTAGATAAATTATTTATCAATTGAGTGATAGTTAATGTAGCATGAAGTTATTTTATTTACTATTTGTGCCTGTTACTTTGTAAGTTTATTTATAAATTTAAGAACAGAGGGAAAAGAGTAAGATGATATTGATGCATGTTTTTTATGACTTCAAAAATTTTAAACTGTTTTTTAAATTGGCATTCAAAGTTAAAATCTTATTTACGTACATACATTTCATGGGTTTTATAAAAAATTACATAAAATAGGGCACATTAAACAGTAAGAATAACTATAATAGTTCTTAATAAATATTATCGCAAGCTTAGGAGAGTCACAATTTAGGAGGGGCTCAGTGGTAACCAAGTAGATTAGCACGTTGCGAAGTTAAGCAATCTTAGTCAGGTCAGGCTATGGATGGATGAATATTCTTAACAAAAAGAGCCCTCCATACCTCGGAGATCACGTTAAGCCATCGGTCCCGGTTGCCATACCAACATCTGTGGAAATCGTTACGGGTAGTTGAAGCCCTAAAAAACTAGACAACGCTTCAACGGTCTATCTACCGAATTTCGATATCGCCTAGCCGATATACTTGGGTTATGGATGTCTGATTGCAGTCGCTCCACGTAAAGAATCGAAGTTCAACGGCATCTTAGTACTCAAAGCCAACCCCACTTAGTTAAAAAAGGGCTGATGGTGGACGGAGGATGATGAAGAGAGATAGAATTTTATTCAGTATTTTGGTCCTAGAATGCGGGATAAGTTGAATAAAATTCAATCAATTCAATTTACTACATATATAAATACTCTAAGAATATCTTCCTATTCTAGATCTCGTCCGATTTGGTCGATCAGGATCAGACGCCCATGCGGGGCAGTCTTCCATAAAAACTTTAAAAGGATGTAGGTATGCTATTTGACTTTTTTAATGTTTCGTTGTGTATATGTATATATTACTTAATTCAGATTTTCATCCATAAAATTAATGAAGGAAATCCCTTTTGTGATTGCAGAAACCTTTAATGACCTAAGGAAAAAACAGTTACAATTGCCCTACTTTTTGGGAAAACCTATCTGATTCCGACAGCAATATTATTTGTACCTTAGTGTGCGTGTCGCCAACCGTAAATACTAAATCAATATCATCAACAGCCTTTACTAGTCCACCGCTGGACGTAGGCCTCTCCTTAGAAAGGACGTTTTGGTCTACTATCCCTCCCTGGCCAGACGGGTCGGTATAGGGTTTGTGTCAAGTTTTCCTTCTCTCTGCGGTGCTGTTGTCCTGCGGGACGAGACCCACGGGATGAATAGGTGGTGACACTCGGTATTCTTAATCCGTCACCACTCGGATACTAATAAATACTAAATACGTGTGATATACGCCTACATCAATTGTTTTTTTGACTTAAACTCAAAGGTTTTTTTTTAAATGAAACTATCGTTCTATGCCATGGACGTATAAAAAAAGTCGAACAGAACTCCTGCAAAACTAAGGCACCGTAATGGCGGCAGGTCTTACATGCGAATGAATTTGGGGTTGCCAAGTTACCAAGTTACCTAGAATTGTCCGTGTAGTGACGGATTAAGAATACGGAATGTCACTACCCCAATTCATCCCGTGGGTGTCGTAAGAGGTGACTAAGGGCGCAAAACAACGCAGGACACCAGCACTGCAAAAAGAAGGAAAACTTGATACAATCCCTTTTTTTCTTGTTTTTTTTTTTAACGTGTGGAAATCCCCTCGGACCGTCACCCCACCGGGGTTTGCGGCGGGGTGGTGTGTCGGACGCGGACCGACTAAAACCACACGGTGTGCCACTCTGCGCCTGTAATAGGATTGATCCGGGAACAGCTGTTATTAAGACATCCGGCCCCCTCGGTGCGGGCTCCGTCTCAAAATTTTAACCTCTCTTTAGGCGACGTCCGGCACACGCGGACGCCGCCCCCTCGCGGCTGGCCAAACTAATGCGGGTGGAGGGGAAACCCACCCCGTCCACCCGCGGTCACACTCAGGGCGTCATGAGGCGCAGGAAAGCGCGCCTCCCGATCCGCCGCCCGGTTCGCCGGCGGCGGATCGGGTCCGAGTGGAGGTCGTCCTCCCAGGCCTTCTCCGCCGCCTCCTTCTGCGAGATTACTTCCTCGCAAAAGGTTGCGACCGCGGTAAAACAACTGTCGCTACCGGCCATGGAGCGTACTACGGCCGGTAGCAAAGCATATCTTACAGCACATGTAAAGATAAAATTCTGAAAAATAAAAAAAGTTGAAAATTAAGGTAAGTTTTGGTACTTACAAGTTTTTGCGAAAATCGAAATTTGCCCATATCTTTTTATAGTGTTGACTCAGGACCTTGATTTTTATACACCTAATAGGGACCATAGACCTCAGTATCTGGTATAAATTTCAACTTGCTAGGTACAGTGTTTGTGTCAAGTTGTGGCCGCGGGTGGACGGGATGGGTTTTCCCCTCCACCCGCATTAGTTTGGCCAGCCGCTAGGGGGCGGCGTCCGCGTGTTCCGGACGTCGCCTAAAGAGAGGATAATCCGAGACGGAGCCGGACGGGTCCAGAAGGAGATAACTACCTAGACCCCCCCCCCTAAAATAGAAGCGCAAAGAGGGCACATCGTGTGGTTTTAGTCGGTTCCAGTCCGACACACCGCCCCCCCCCGAACAGAGAACCCCGGCGGGGTGACGGTCCGAGGGGATTTTCACACGTTAAAAAAAAAAGGGTTTGTGTCAAGTTTTCCTTCTTTTTGCAGTGCTGGTGTCCTGCGTTGTTTTGCGCCCTTAGTCGGCTCATACGACACCCACGGGATGAATTGGGGTAGTGACATTCCGTATTCTTAATCCGTCACTACGATGGACTAGATATTAAATAAAGTAATTAAATGCCTATGTTTTTTTAAGCAGTCAAAGAAATATTATACATACAAAAAAAGAGAGTTATACAATTACATTAATAAGTATATTTGGGTACTATTTTTTTACAAAAAAATTGTACACTACGTCTCCCAATGTTCAAGTTGTTTGCCGACAATTATACCAATGTAAACAGTAGTAACTGGTTTAACCAATAAAAATGATTAATAATTTAGTACAAGTCAGTACCTCACTTAAATTTTTTGCTTGTTCATTTTTTTCAGTGGCACTCCGGGAGTGCCGTCCGAACTGTAAACTTATATTCCTACTTATACCTATACAGAGGTGTCGGCAACGCAACGGCAACGGAAAGTGTCACGAGTCCGATGGTAAAATCCCATCTCAAAAAATTTGTTTTTTATTAAACCATAAAGTGGAATGCACATGTTCAAAAATGACCAACGAACCTAAAGAAGTTTTCACTTCAATATTGAATTCTTTTTTTTTCTTCTTTAAGACAACTTCCGCACTAGGAATAAATCTTGTGTCGCGGGGGACTTTACAAACATACATGAAACAGACACAAAGAAATTGTTGTTTGGAGTCTGGGTGACTCCAAACAACAATTTGTAAATCACACAAAGTGTCGTCCCATGTGGGGATCGGACCCACAGCACTACGCCATCCGTGCAGTCAATTCGTCTGTATGACACTCATAATACTAATACCGGCCTCAACTTTCCGCCATCGTTCCACACGGCAAAATCTTCATCCCTACCATTTGGATAATTGCCTCGCACAACCAACCTGTTAAACAAGTTATTGTCTGCGGTTTTTGCGGACCGATACGACTTCCAAACCTTCAAGAAAAGAGCGTACTCCTTCCTCAAAGGCCAGCAACGCGATTGGAAAAGATCTGAATTTTCTCCAAAAACTCAATCGCATGAGAGTCGCTGAGGACATGCTAGAACGAGTCAATTCCGATCCAACATTCATGAAACGCATTCAAACTACATGCAAACTAGTCAACAAGCTTCGGAGTGACCAAAGTCAATCAAAAGTCAAAGTCATGTTGACTGTTTTCTTTGACTATCGCGGTGATGTACACTCGGAATTCTTGTCGGAAGGGCAAACGGTAAATAGAGAACATTATTTAAGCGTTATGCGGCATTTAAGAGAGCAAATTCGAAGAAAAAGGCCAGATTTGTGGAAAGAAAATTCTTGGATTTTGCACCACGATAATGCGCCTTCGTACAAGGCCATCATTTTGAACAAATTTTTGACCAAACACTCAACCAGATTCACTAGATATGGCTCCAGCCAAACTTCTGTCTTTTTCCTAAACTGAAATTACCACTTCGTGGCCCCTTTTTCAATTGGTAGTAGACATAAAGGAGTTTTTTTTTATGTTAGATCTATCGTCGCCTATGAACGTTTCGCGGCTAGAACTAAACTCAATTCCGGAAACAGCGTATAAAAAATGTTATGATGATTGGATAATAGTATAGTAATTATATCGTTTTTGAAGGAGCATACTTTGAAGGTGATAAAATAAATTTGGATGAATAACAAACATTTTGTGTATTATTGATCTTTTCCCGGTACTTTCTTGACAGAGTAGTACATACATATTAGACAAGAATGCATGGGATTAATTTATTAATTTAGCACAGGCTATTCGGTAGTGGGAATGTGATGTGTGCTAGTGTGTCTTTTTAATATTTTACTTTGCTTTCTTTTTTATTCCATCTTTTTTCTAAAACTTGTTTTCTCTTCATTGCCTTTTTACCTTTTAGCCCTTAAAACTTACATATGGCATACATCAGAACAATGTTGTGTATATTTAATGATGCCATTGTATGTATCTGTTAATTAAAAAAGAGTGGAGAGTGAGTATGTTTGTCCTTTCTTCTCATATGGCTCAATCCCTTGAGAACGGGCGGCTGTAGATCGACAGAGATTTTCGATACGTATTGCTAAATATTTGACAAAACAGAGATTGTTGTAATTGTGTGTTTTAATCTGTGACTTTAGAGCCTACGCAATAGTCATTTTAAAGAAATTAAAAAAAAATGGAATAAAGATATTTTGAGTTTGATAATTTACACACACCTTTGAAATAGAATATTCTTATTGGCCACTGTTACTACGCACGAGTCAATTAGATATAACAAGACACCAATTTATCGCTCAACTATAACTGTAAACTCGTGATCGAATAATTTATTAAGTTCTATGGAAATATTTCTATATATTCCATAAATTCTATATATATATTATATATATATTCCTGCAGTATTTCGAAGACTATTTCGAAAATGTATTTTTTAATTTTCTAGCGATGAGAAGAATCGACGACCATATTGTAAATAACTTCTTCATCTGAGAGCACGTTTAAAGAAGATATATGAAATCATGTATAAGCGTCCTTTGACTCATGCTTATATTTTGATGGATTATATTATATTATATATTAAAGCAGATTTTATACGAAGTTTTACTTAAAGGATAAATCAGTATTTTCTTAAGGTAGGTTTTGGTATGAAGTCACTCTGTTTAGAACGAAATCAAAATCTGAATATGATGTTAAGCTAAGAGTTTTATAACTTGCACCTATGGTTGCATGCAGGTCTTTATACTCGTAGTAGCTCGCAGGACATCAAGAACTCATCTCATTGTCTTAATATACAGATTGTTGAAATCTTTCATAAGCTAGCTAACCGTTTATTAGGTTTACGTCAATGTGTTGTATTATATTCATACGTCATACAAACGATCCAACTTATTAAGGAGTGTTGTGCTCCTATGTATATTGAACTGTCTATGTGTGAGTAATGTTTAGGCAGCCAAATGCTGTGCCTTGCCTATACTAACGCAGTGTTTTTCCTTTAGCTGTGGTCTATACTGATTTCAGTCAGTCACTATATATTTTTGGACGCAGACACGTCTCGCACGTCTCGCCGCCAAAATTCGTCATACGATACATCTTTGTTAAAAGGTAATATTGCATATTTATCAATTGAAAATAAATAGTTTTGTCAATGTACCTACACTGCATACATTGTTTGCGTATTTGTTTTTATTAAGATCTACTTTATCAATTAATAAAAGAGTTGAAGAGAAATTATGGCAGCCGTTAATTTTCTTTTAATTGATTTGTTTATCTGAAAAAAGGTGACAGTTCACGTTCTGCTTATACTGTTTTCTTTGTGTTTCATGATTTCGGTATTCATTGAATTATTTTTAATTCAATTAATGCAATAATAACAATGAATGAACTGATTGATGGGTTCATCACCATTTAATAATAAAAACATACCTAAGATTAATTATATTAAATGTTGAATGAAAGAATAGTAGTCTTAACCATTTTATTATTTTATCAACAAAGCAAATGTATATATAAGAAAAGCAAGTGACATATTGTCTCATTGTTGTTTAAATCATCACTAGGGTAGTGAACGAACAATTCAAAGCTTCTTCTTCATCAAGTTCAAGGTAAAACATCGTAAAAATAAATTCCTGTGTTACTCGTACTGTTAGCAACAGAGGAGTCAATAAAGAACTGATTATTTTTTTTATTTGGTGCAGCATGGCCGAAAACAACGTTCGTTTGTCTTCTCAGGAGATCATCGCCCTTGAAGATCAGTACGGGTGCCGTAACTATGAACCTGTGCCTGTCGTGCTAAGCCGTGGCGAAGGTGAGGGTCATTTTGTTTAATTCACTACATTAATGGCTAATAATCATATGGACCTCTACCGTATTCTTTTTCTAATACCTACCTTGACTATTTATCTCTGAATTGTTCTCTAGAATTTGTAACTGTGTAAAGTACAGGATGCTTGACTTTTACAATTATTTCATTGGCTATTAAAAAAGCTATACTATTTTTAATTAGGTATTATAAAAATCCTCCTCAACTATTTTAAAATCCAAAACTATATTTTACTTTTAGATCAAGTTGCTATTAGTTAATTAATTATTTTTCTTAATAATTTTTAATCGAAACAGATTCCTTTTGTATTCTCCGCAACCACTGATCCTGGTACCTAACATACCGTTAATATTTTATCACAACTACCTATTAGGGACCTATTGATGTAAATCCCAACCCATAATATCTCTTGAAGATAAATTCTTCCTTTTACTGCATCATTGTCCTCCTTCAGACATAAAAAATTTACCGTTGGTCATTGTCCAAAAGTAGGTACTATTATAATGTTAGTTTTTAACCGACTAGGTAAATTTGTAAATTTACTTGTGGAGTGTAATTATTTTGTTGCAATTTCCCCATATACTGTTTTCCAATATTGAAAAACAGATATGTAACAATATTTTTGTTATTGAATAGGATATACCCTATCCAATCCGATCCGATTATTATCTGGGGGCCGATTATAGCCCAGTTGTCAGTGACGTAACGTTTTAAATTTGGTTGAACGCGCTAATCTCAGGAACTATTGGTTCTAATTGAAAATTATTTAATGTTGGACTGTCCATTTATCGAGGAAGGCTAAAGGATATTTATCATCAAGCTACGACCAATAGGAGCCAAGCAATAATGAAAAATATTGCAGAAACAGGGCAAAACTTGTGCTTTTGTAAGACGCAAACCGAAAACAAAGTTGTGCGACTGTGCGGGTCAGCTAGTACTTAACAAATTGCCTATATATCTTATTTTTTGGTAAAAGAGCCTGCACCGCAATAAAACTTTTCTGAAGATATCTGTAACGTTCAAAGTCAAGCATCGTACGCGTACTTTAGCACTTTATTTTGCCGTGGCAAAATGTCCGTGGACTACGTTTCTACTTTTCAGGCTCCAGTCTCATTATCCTTATTTAACCAAGTGAAAATACAAAGTTGATAAAAATATTACATTACTAGATACCTACATACACTGTGCACTGACGCCTGTAGCTCAATCCATAGAAAACTTCAACTGTAGGTTTACCATTAATTTTAATTAATGGTAATGGAGTCGTTTGTTACACAATCGCCATTATTATTGCAAGTATAAAGACGTTTTGTACTCATAATGTAATAATTATATCACAGTCATTGCATTAAAGAAAGGGTATCTTATTTAATAATGAATATACTTATCTGTGATATTACATCAATAAACTATTTGTTTGCATATACTTATTTATAATGTGCCTATAAATATTCATAATAATAATTCACGTATAACATTTTGGAAAGTAAGTCGATCTCTACACTGATATGTTATTTTCCAGAAATCTTTGACAGTTTCTTTAATTTTTAACTTCATTAAATAGTATTTACTTATTAAATACATTTTAAATGCAAAAATTGCAATGCTCTCTGAATAAAAATGCTTGCTTTGAACCTTAAGAGATGACTAATTAAAAGATTATTATAGTTTACTGGAGACTTACGTAGATTACTTGGCTACTTACCACTGAATTACGAAATACTGTTCATTTATATTTTGAGTATTATATATTATACACACCACCTCTTCAACCCCTTTTGGTAACTTAAACGCCCAAATTGTCATCATCGTCAACAGCCTGTAATAGTCCACTGCTGGACTGTTGGACATGGGCCTCTTCTTAGGTTGGAGGTTTTGGCCTACTATACCACGCTGGCCAGACGGGTTGGTATAGGATTTGTTTTACCTCCGACAGCTTGGTCCGAAGCTGGTGGACACTGCCTCCGCCCTAGGGCGATTTTTGCCCAATTTGGGCGGGGCCAGTGTTCCCACGAGGCGGCTGTACGCGGGGGTTGTCCGGTCCATGGCGCTGTATGGTGCACAGGTGTGGGTGGCGGCTCTGACCGCCCCGAAAAGGGCGCGCCTCTGGCGCCCCCAGAGGATATTGGCGGTCAGAGCCATACGCGGATACCGCACGGTGTCCACCGAGGCGGCCTGTGCCTTGGCCGGAACACCCCCGTGGGATTTGGAGGCGGAAGTGCTCGCCGAAGTTTATCGGCGAGTGGCTGACTTCCGGGCGGAGAGCGGATTTCGCCCTCCGCCCGAAGACGTGCGCGAGTGGCGCGAAGCCGCTCGCCGAGCCACCATGGTGAGATGGTCGTTCCGGCTGGAGACTCCACGCGCTGGCTTCGCCGCCGTGGAGGCTCTCCAGCCGGTCATCGCCGAGTGGGCAGGGCGGCAGCACGGGACCCTTTCCTTCCGGCTGACGCAGGTGCTTTCCGGGCACGGTTGCTTCGGAAAGTACCTGTACTCGGTCGCTAGGAGGGAATCGAGTCCCGCCTGCCATCACTGCGACTGCAGTGAGGATTCGGCCCAGCACACGCTGGCGGTTTGCCCCGCATGGGCGACGCAGCGGCGGGCCCTCACTGCAGTCATCGGAGCAGATCTCTCGCTACCGGCCGTAATTCGCTCCATGGCCGGTAGCGACAGTTGTTTTACCGCGGTCGCAACCTTCTGCGAGGAGGTAATCTCGCAGAAGGAGGCGGCGGAGAAGGCCTGGGAGGACGACCTCCACTCGGACCTGATCCGCCGCCGGCGAACCGGGCGGCGGAGGCGCGATTACCTGCGCCTCATGCCGCCCTGAGTGTGGCCGCGGGTGGACGGGATGGGTTCTCCCCTCCACCCGCATTAGTTGGCCAGCCGCGAGGGGGCGGCGTCCGCGTGTGCCGGACGTCGCCTAAAGAGAGGGTCCACTGAGACGGAGCCCGCATCAGGAGCGGGCCGGCGCTGGGAGGGGTCCAGAAGGAGATAGCTACCTGGACCCCTCCTAAACTGGAAGCGCAAAGAGGGCACACCGTGTGGTTTTAGTCGGTTCGAGTCCGACACACCGCCCCGCCGAACGAGAGCCCCGGCGGGATGACGGTCCGAGGGGATTTCCACACGTAAAAAAAAAAAAAAAAAGGATTTGTTTTACCGACTACAATTTTAGTCTCACTAATAACCCACTCATTTACTTATAAATACATACATATCAAAACATTATATTAAAATGTGAAACTGAGTTTGTTTGTCTGTTTGTTACGCTTCCACGCCTAAACCACTAAATCCATTTTAAAAATTCTTTCACCAATGGAAAGCTACATTATCGAGTAACAGAGGCTATTTTTTATCGTGACAACCGATATACACACGGGTGGAGCTGCGGGTAAAAGCTAGAAGCTAGTTGTAGATAAATTACACTTAGACACTTCTTCATTTCCTAATTTGCCACGCTTAAAGGTGGCATTTTTTTATTCCAATAAGACCTAACAAGAAGTATATCCTTTCAGATAAAAAAGATTTTTCCAGATCGGGTTATAAATGACGGAGTTCTGATGTAAGAAAAAAACATACAGCAGAATTAAGAGTCGTTCTTTTTTATGTCGGTTAAAAATATTGATTCAGTTTCAGTCTTGAATACCCAATTATTGCATAATGTTATTTTACAGGTGTATTTGTATGGGACGTCGAGGGGAAGAAATATTACGACTTCTTGAGCGCATACTCCGCGGTAAACCAAGGTCACTGTCATCCTAGGATTATTGCCGCCCTCAAAAAACAAGCAGACTCACTTACCCTCGTTTCCAGGTAAAGTTGTATATATGTTAATCGATTTGGGAATTATTTATATCACGATACAGGATTAGCAGTTACTCCGTAGTTCGGTGTGTCCACGTTAGATGGCGCTTACATATGTGGAAGTAGCCACATCACTCCCCTCCAAGACCGGACGTCAATATATGATGACTCAGCCGTCCATGCTCTGTTGTGGAGCGTGCCAGAACTGCGAAGTCGGAACTGAGTGCTGCTAGTACCAATGAGTCGGAACTGAGTGATCCCAGAGTGTCGGGATTGCATGAGTTGTGCGGTGCTGCGGTTGATGTTGGGAAGTTGTATATATGCTAATCGGCGAGAGAAATATTCATACCGCGATACAGGATTAGCAGTTACTCCGTAATTCGGTGTATGTGTGTGTCTGTCTCTCTGTCTATCTGTGTCTGACTGTCTGTTATCCCTTCACGCTTAAGCCGCTGAACCGATTTTAACTAAATTTAGTATGGAGATAGTTTGAATTCCGGGAAAGGACATATGATGGTTTTATCCCAGAAATCATATTTTAAAGGGGTGAAAAGAGTGGTAGAAGTATGTATGGGGCATCAAATCCGCAGTGAACCGATTTAGATGAAGTTTGATATGGAGATAGTTTGATTCTTGAGAAAGGACATAGGGTAAGAAGAATAAACGATGAGAGAAGTAACACACTTTTGTCTATAATAAACAACTATTCTGTTACTAGCACTTAGGATATAGCCGATAGATTGTCAGAAGGGAGTCTCTGTGGATGAACTACCTTAAATGTATATCTTAGTGAAACCGTCCTAACCATGTATAATTACAGTCACTTCAACACTTCTTTTTTTAGAGCTTTTTATTCGGATCAACTCGGACAATTTGAGAAAATGATGACAGAGTTATTAGGCTTCGATCGTCTATTGGCTATGAATACTGGCGTAGAAGGTGGTGAGAGCGCCTGTAAGATAGCACGGAAGTGGGGATACGATGTTAAGAAAATTCCTGACGGACAAGCAAAGGTTAGTGAAGTTTAATATTTCATTTGCAGGAAATGTAATTCTTGTTATACATGTCTTCTTTTTCTACTTCAGATTATTTTCGCTGAAGGCAACTTCTGGGGCCGCACTCTTTCCGCTGTATCGGCGTCGAACGACCCGATGTGTTACAAAGGTTTTGGACCCTACATGCCTGGTTTTAAGTTAGTGCCGTACAATAATATTGCAGCTTTAGAGGTGAGTAAACCGCATCCTAACAATTAATATATGGATAAAACAATTTATTTCATCCAAGCGTGTTAGAGTAGTTAGTCTCTTAGTTAAATTAAAGGAGCTGCGCTGAATTTTAGTTAAATTAAAGAGGCTCTCCGCTATTGTCTTTATTATGTATGTATGTACCTACATACACGTACATTACTTTAAAGAACAAAATTTAGACACTCCCATTTTGCTAGATATATTTTTCGTCTTTTAGACTATTATTTTAAATACCTTGAGCTTCGGCTCCGTCTCCAAATTGTCGATAATCATTAACAACACCGCTGTGTTGTTAATGATTGTTAATATGTTAAATGATTGTTGTGAATATCGAACATTAATTTGTTATTTCATCGTAACGGAGTTTGTTTTTCAAAAACGCAATCCCTTTTTAAATTTCTTTTGGTTTTTAGAAAGAACTTAAAGATCCTACTGTAGCCGCTTTTATGGTAGAACCGATCCAAGGCGAAGCGGGCACTATAATACCTGACGAAGGATACTTGAAAAAAGTAAGAGAATTGTGCACAAAGTACAACGTGCTTTGGATTGCCGACGAAGTGCAGACAGGCTTGGGTGAGTTTCCTAATCTTATCGTCTTACAACCAAAGGAAAATTGGTAGGTACTGTACATAGACTAACTACTCAACATAGGCCTAACCTTAAGGTATAACTTACTAGGCAAGAGCGTAGCCATGATAGAATAGGGCGGAGCACTTGCCCTGGATGGCGCAATCATTATGATTTTACATAACTGAAGGATAGGTAAATTCGAATACGCTCGCATATAGCTGCGTGGAGCTGCAAGGATCGTAGAGTATATTCCACGTATCTCATTTCATCTCTTTTCCAATTAAATTTCAAATCACAAAACGTACATAATATACATCAATTTGTCAAACTATCTAATGTTCTCTCTTTGGTCGTGGGTCAGCTTTCCTCGTCTATGTACCTACTCCACTTCGCTCTATCATCTATGTTGTCGGAAACCCGACAATCTTTCATGCCCCCGGCATTACATGCTCCCACTATATTTTCGGACTGCCGGTGATTGAATTCTTTTAATTATTTTTTTTCTAGGACGTACCGGAAAATTGTTAGCAGTACACCATGAAGATGTAAAACCTGACATCCTCATCCTTGGCAAAGCACTCAGCGGGGGAATATTGCCTGTCTCCGCTATACTGGCTAACGACGACGTAATGAACGTAAGCAAATATTAATCGTCATGATTTATCACTCAGGAAACATAATCTTTTATTTGTTTTGTAAATTAATCTGTTTTTAGGTCATTAAACCCGGTACTCACGGATCTACATATGGCGGCAACCCCTTAGCTTGTGCAGTCGCCAAAGAGGCCATCAAGGTATAAAATTAAGAGTTAACATTATATTAGGGAACTAAATATTTAATTTTAAGTTATAGGATGAAGGCATTTCGGATGAACCAGCAAAATCACGGGTTATGAAGTTTATTATTGCAGTAAACACGGCTCTTCATTTATCTTCGCAGAAAAATTTCTAGCTGCTCGGTTTCTCCTTGCAAAACATCCTATATGACTATCGCCAGGTCATTATTAAGATCTTGCAATTGTAAAGTGAAAAAACTAGGCTATGTGTCGGTCGGTATTTACCTACAGACATAGCCTCGCTAATTAAAAAAAATAGAAGTTGACGAACCCGTTTGCTCTCTTCTTCTTGATCTTGGGCGTCCCGTACATTTCTGGTTTGAAAACAAACGAGTAGACTCGAAGTTTTTGAAGACTTACCACTTAATTATACTTTCACCTAGGACACAGAAACAACTCAGTGAAAACTTGAATGTGGCTGGACCATTCCACGGTGACAAAACCGAGACTCTAGCTAGTCATTTTCTTCTCCCGTGAACCACCCGCTCTGTCATACCGTTCCCACGTAGACCGTTTTTTAGTTGTACTCCTTTCTGACCCATCCTATATAATTTTATATTTACTCCCTCATGTTGCCCACCTAAAGGTACTGGTACGGTCACCGTCCTCCATACGCGTAACATAACCATGCGCCCAGTTGTTTAATTGTATCGATATTCAGAAATAGGTATACCTACCTACTTTCAATCTATATACGTAGCCAAATACCTTTAACATCTTTTAAGAACCACTGTCACTTTAGAATTTCCTGTAAATAAAAAGATATAGGGTTTTTATTTCTTTTCAGTACATTTTCACAGCCTAGAAACGATCGAAAGGAAATTATTGTCATTTATGTAACACTGAAAGTATATAAAAGTATTAAATATTTTGTACTTGAACGTTTAGGTTTTGCTAGAGGAGAAACTGACTGAAAACGCAGCGAAAATGGAGACAGTGTTAATCGAAGAGTTGAAGAAAATACCAAAAAATAAGGTTGTAGCCATTCGTTGCAGAGGACTCATGTGCGCCATTGATGTTCATGAGAGTAAGTGAATTATTAAATTAAATAAATAGGTACTCAGGTTGTTCATAATCATCATCATCTCAGCCGAAAGACGTCCACTGCTGGACGTAGGCCTCCCCCAAAGATCGTAACAACAACCGGTCCTGGGCTGCCTGTATCCAACGGATTTTTACAAATCTTTTATTTCTGAAATCAATTTTTTTTAAAGAATTGTTGAATGGTTCCATTTCTTTAATTTTTACCTACGTCCCTAAACGTAAAAAAGATTAATTTACGGCCAGGTGTCTGTGTTTTTTTTTAAATAAAAGTACTAAGTACATAATTCATAATTCTGGACTCAACGAGACTTATTAGAGTACAATCAAACCTAAATACATAAATGTAAATCGTAAGTTGGTAATCAGGTAAATACTGAAGAAATTTAAAAATATGACACACTTTTACCCACTAATCATATGCCATTATCGTGCAGGTATTTCAGCAAAAGAAGTTTGCTTAAGATTTCGTGATGCGGGTCTCCTCACAAAGACAACCCATGGCCAGACGATCCGACTTGCACCGCCACTTGTTATCACAGAACAACAGCTTAGAGAAGGCGTCAGTATCATCCGCAAAGTGCTTGAGAGCTTCGATTAAAAACTCCTTTCTGAAATTGAATTAAAAATAATTTCTTCTAAATTATTTAATTCTCAATAAATGTATACACAGACTTATGATAAATTAAAATTAATACCTAACATGTCTTTATATTACTCATAATATAATAATCATAAGATGTTTATATTAAGACTGTCTTATAAGGAAATCAAGCTAAAACTTATTTAATGAAAATTTAAATTGCTGATAGCATTTTAAGAATCTTACTTTTTTAACTGTACATTCAAAGAGAGAGTCAGAAGGAGCAAGAGAAAGAAAGAAAGTAGATAGATGTTCATATACCTACTACCTACTCTACTTTTTCTCTTTACAGACAAGAAAGATTACATGTAGGATTGATGATGATTGATTGATGTACTTGGATTTATTATTTATTTGTATAATACGAGTATAACAAATAAATAAAATCAATGTGTAGATACTGTGTTCATCGTCGGTCCTAACTTATATAATATTTTCAATCTTAAGTAGACCTCAAGATGGAGATAACTTATACAACTTTCTAATTGCAATAACTTTCTTGCTAGTCTTGGCCGTTGTTTACTAGGACTCGGACAACTTCACTATAGTTCGTAATGAAATTAATTATATTTTGAAATAAATTTTACAAACACAGTTATGTGTTTGTGATAAGAGAAATATAGAATCAATTCGTCTATTCGTAAATGACATCACAGTCTCTCCTATAATCTCCATCCATGATCTCCATGATCCAGTAGGGCAATCTCCCTGCTTTATTTTCGTTCATCAGTTCATGCACCATGATTGTTTAAATATATTGGTAATTTGGTGAATAAATGACAACGATTGATCTTATTTGAGAAATGATCTACTACTGCGGCCGGCCCTAATCACAGAGGCCCTAGTGTGAGTTCATTTCACATCAACCATTCTCGACAGCGAGCGCGTTCGGCCTTGCGATTGGTGAAGATTTCAGTGCGGACCAATCGCAGCGTCAAACGTGGTTACCACACTGTGACGTGAAATAAACTCGCACTTGGGCCACTGATCTTCACCGGCAACATTCACTTGCTTCATTTAAATAAGCAAATAGTTATTAGGTTAGATTACATCCAAAATCCATCTGCTTATTTCCCTCCCTTACTCCCCCCCCCCCTCTATTTCATAAAAATATATTTACTAAATACACCCCACCACAGAATAAACTATTATTCTGTTGAAAATGGTGGGGTAGTGGTGAAAAGTTGATCATCAATGAAAAATATAGTATAAGTAACTATAGTGCTTATTCTCTATGTTTTTGCCACGGCATTGATCATCAACTTTTGGTGAAAGTTCGATCAGCTAATTTATGGGTATTATACTTTATTAAATCACTTAGTTTTGGAACATTGTGGCACTATCTAGATTTGTTCCAAATATCGTTCAGTAGTTTTGACCTATCGTGACGCATTAATTCCCGTAAACATAACTAAATATTATGGAACGCGAGAGTTTAAGTCACGTTATACTGGTCAAGAACATAAAACAAGGCATCCAAAACGGTCGAAATTCGATCAATCAATTTCGATCGCAGCGTGATTTCTAGCAGGAAGGAATTTTGTTGGTATTGTTTGAGATAATTTTTCAGTTGGTGTTCAAAATGGATTTCTGTATTGATCTGCGGGCTTAGTGTAAGTTTCTTTCACTTCTACTCGCTCTCGACAGCGAACGCGTTTGGCGTTGTGATTGGTGAAGATTTTAGCGCGGACCAATCGCAACGCCGAACGCGGTCACCGTGACGAACGAGTTGATGCGAAAGAAACTGACACTAGGCCCTCTGTAACACTTTGTTTAAATTTCTCTAGTGACAATAAAATTCCGTTGTACGATGTAAGTTTACGGTGTGTGCGTTTCCCCAGCGGAAAAAGTTCGAATTTCATTATTTGAGTTTAACAGATATTTAGTGTATGACTTCGTGTAATTATGTATGATAAGTAAGTGCGTCCAACCATTGGCAAGTTATTCAAGAAAAATTGTTTCCGGCGGAACAACGTTGTTGGCACTTTTTTATCCTCGTGACGTAGAAGAAAAATTTTTTTTTCATAAATAAGTGAATGACGTTACGTAATTGTGTATATCTAAATGAAATTTGTGTGTCATTATACTGCGAAGATATTCAAGTTTTCACTGCGACAACGTTTGGCCATTGGCTAGATTTATTTAAAACGTTTTTCTAGAGCTGTAGATTTTTTCTGTAGGCTGTAGACTGTTTCCGGTGGGATAGCTTTGTCCCAGCGGCACTTTTTTATCCTATGGACATAGAAGATAAAAAATGGTTTTAAAATTAGTGTATGATGTGAGGTACCTAATTGTGTGCGTCTAAATTAAATTTGTGTGTCAATAAACTGCGAAGATATTCAAGTTTCCGCTGCGACAACGTTTGGCCATTTGCTAGATTTCATATAAAACATTTTTCTAGAGAGCTGTAGATTTTTTCATAGGTTATTTTGAATTTATTTATACCGTTTGTAAAAACAGGTTTAAAAAACCATACCATACCATGATATAAATATAAATGTAAAATAAAGTTATTAGGTCCTAGTACTTAATGCTTATGCACTAGGGTCTAGTTTATAACGTTTATACATACCTTGAAAGCATCTACAATGTCTTGCCAAGCATCATTGATGTACTTTTAGTAATTAATGAGCTATGAAATAATTTAACATGACTGGACCACTGTTTCATATTATTATGCAGTATTACACGAGGTTCTAAAGGAAATGCGTAATAAAACCTATTCCAATAAATAGTGCATTTATTCAACTATTCACATGTAATGTTATTTCTTTACACAACAAATTCACGAAATACAATTAAAATACTGACAACCACCGCTATTCGTAGATAACCCGACCGAGTTCGGATGGCTACAAAAAAACAGCCGTGCAGTATATTTAGGTAACATTAATAATTTACAGTATAATACCAGTATTGAATAGGTACAGGTGGTTACACAATAAAATTCTTGAATAAAATCTTGAGATTAAGACACTAGGTCACTTGCTTCTTCTGCAACTACTTACTGTTTCCAGAGTATTTGGTTAATGCAGTACGATTCTTAAAATAGATATGTTTATGACAAAAAACATACAAATAATTGCCAAAATTATATAATATTATATTATTATACCATCACAAAAGCAACCAGCTGCCTATCACTTCGACACCGACGAAAGTCCGAGCTCGCATTTTAGATACCCTAGCAGAGTCATCATAATCTGTAAAGTTTTAAATATTATTTGTGTATATATGTATGTAACTCAGCAAGTATATATGACCCACTGTCCCACTATTTTTATCCATCTCCTCAATTTATACTATCTTTTTAAAACAAAAAAAAAACGATTTCTAGTGCACCTAGTCAGAAATTTTCATAAATAACATTTTACATTAAAATTAGTTTTTTTTTGGCGTGGTTATATCTGTAGTGAAAAATCACGACAGTTACATTTATCGAGGAGCTATAAATAACAATTGCGTACGTTCTTTTACTTATTTTTTCATTGATATATAGCATGATATTGTCATCGGTCGCCATAATTGTTCGCTTTTTTTTGCATTGTTGTTAAGGAAGACTAATTCCGTTTTGCGTTTTCTACTAATACGAACTTTTTTTTGTAAATTCTTACATTTATAGATTCCCTATATATTTACTTATAAATCTATGCCTAATATAATCTATAAGAGTCATTATTACTTAAAGTTTTTGACCGCTTAACGATAAAAACTTAAACCTATCATTTGTGTATGCAACTGTACAAAATTACTATATACTATACTGTAAATTTTAGAATGTCGCCTTAATATACTGCACGGCCGCTTTTTTGCAGCCATCCGAACTCGGTCGGGTTATGTACGTATTCGGGTGGTTGTCAGTATTTTAATTGTATTTTGTTAATTATTAAGTGTAATGAAATGAATTAATACACTAATACTAACAACGTTTTCCCACATTAAACAATTTTTCGTGAATTACTCCCCCAATGGTTGGATGCACAAATTTTTACTTACCATTCACAATTACACGACGTCATACACTAAATATCTGTTAAACTCAAATAATGTAATTCGAACTTTTTCTGCTGGGGCAACGCACATGCTCACAGTTTAATTTATTGCCACTAAAGTAGCAGTTAAAAAAATAGCCAGTAATTATTAATGTCTCTTGCTACTTGAAGAAACATCTTGCGGACCCACCGACAAAAAATGTATGACAGCCCAACCCTATGTAGCGAGCGAGGTATACAAAGAAGCCTTCGTCATTTTCATCTCATGGGAGTGTCAAGCTTCGAAATAATACATGGCCTCACAGTAGACGTGAAAATTATAGCTACTTTTATGAATGATATTCATCTAAAGTCAAAGCGACTACACATGTGATTGCGATTTCATCGTAGACAAAGATAAATGGTATTCAAATTAATCAAAACTCTTTTCATCAAAGATTACGACATTTCTTTTAGATTTAGACATATCTAGACATATTTAGACATAGAATAATAATATTAATTAAGTAGTAGTGTTTTTGTAAATCAGTCACAGTTGTGGTGAAAAGATTTTTAAATCATGTGATTGTGATTTTATTCCATCCCTACCTCACAGTATACCGTTGTTAACCATTTTCGTAGTGCATTTCACAGCATTAGTGAGGCGACCAAACCTTTTCAAAATTCTGAAGGGTCACTCACTCGACAAACTACAACATTTTTGTGACTCTAGAGTTACAGGTCACAGGTTGTAGCAAAGCGAGAGGAAAGGCTTATTCCTTTCTGCTATCTATCCAATTAAAAAAAATAAAGACCTATCATCAGAAATATTGCATTGACTGAAAACATCCCAATTAATCTAAAATCTACCTTTATTCAGTGTAATTTTATATAAATTGAAGGTATCTAGATTTGAGACCGAAAGACTGTGTATCTGTGCTTTAAAATTAAAAATAAAATAAAAATGTATGAATGATAGAATGAAATGCCACTATGGCCAGCGGCCCTAGCGGGGGTGCCGGAAAAACTTAACAATATGGCGATGGCAACGAGTGACTTTGAACCGTGGCTAAGTGAGAAATTAAGATCGTTAAAAACTGACGAAGGTGTTTTCTGTTCATATATCTCGGGGATTTTAGAGAGCGAAGAAAGTGTAGATGAAAAAAAAGATGCTTTAGAAGGCATACTATCGGAGATTGTTGTGAGTATTTGCCACTTGTAGGCATGGTATGCTGTTTTTTTTTCACTATTTATAAATAGTTTATTTATTAGGAAAAGGATATAACAATCCACGTAGAGGAAATTATTGAAAAATGGGATTCATGCAGGCCAAAAGAAGAGGCACCAAAGCCCGTTGCAGATGTAGATGTTCAATTAGCCAAGTTAATGGAATCACAAGCACCAACGACTACAACAAGACGAGAATACACCGATGAAGAAAAGAAAATTCGCGAAGCAATATTATCCCAGTATAGTCAACTGTCTGACAACGAGGTAAAAGTCTAAACGCATTTTAATATTGCTTGAGGTTATTAAATTTGTAAACTATAATTTCTACATGGAGTCCAATTACTAATAAAATTGTTGATTTCAGAATGATGAGGTTAACGAAGAAGAGCCAGAAAATCATGATCTAGTTAAAAATACAAATGCTGCAGATGTTCACGCAGCAGCTAGAGAGCGCAGAGAACAAGCCCGATTGGATGCTCAGAAAAAAAAAGAAAAGGACAAAGAGGATAGGTTAGTTACAATTGGTCATTACTTAAAACATGTAAACATGTTTTTTTTTCTTCCTTGCGGAAATCCCCTCGGATACCACCTGTCGGTGGCAAGTCGTACTCGAACCGACTAAAACCGCACGCCGTCTCGGGTACTAATAGCCGGGAAACCAGGTATACCCTAGAAAGGAAGGCCCTGGTGCTAGAGCCTACCTTTGACAGTCTGTATTCAAATATAGGGTCAAGACAAGTTTACATAGACAAAAATGTCTGCTTTCTTACAGGCGAGCCATATGCTTATTGTGACATGGTACCTAATACCTGATACCTAAATTCCTAGTTTGAAATTGTACAGAACATAACTTAATGAAGTTATTTGACCTTTGGGAATACTTAATATACCTAATACCTGATACCTAAATTCCTAGTTTGAAATTGTACAGAACATAACTTAATGAAGTTATTTGACCTTTGGGAATACTTAATAAGGGGATTATTGTTATTTAGTTATGAAAGAAAAATATAGGCTGCTAGATAATGTTGTTGAGTTCTAGATTCATCCTGCCTAATATAATATATCTTACAATCTTTTAAAGAATTACATATTTAAAATTATTGTGAAAGAATACCTACACTTTTACAGTTAACAAATTAATTAATCTAAACAATCTAAATAAAATTTGACTGCACGGATGGCCGAGTGTTGTGGGTTCAAACCCCACGTGGGACGACACTTTGTGTGATCCACAAGTTGTTGTTCTGAGTCTTGGTGTTCTTTGTGTCCGTTTCATGTTTGTTTGTAAAGTCCCCCGCTACACATGATATATATATATTCCTAATGCGGGAGTTGTCTTTTTATTGAAATATTGAAATCTATAATATGTAAGCATTTAGAAATAAATAAGTTTGTTTATCAGCAGTCTGTTTACCATAGCACAGGCTCTGCCTAGTTTGGGATCGACAGCTATGTGTGAGGTTATTCTTATTACTTTGTAATTAATTATCAATTGTGATTTATTTTTCAGAGAAAAGCAAAAGCAACTAAAAGAAGAGAAAAAGGAGAAACGTAAGACACAAAAAGGAGAAAGGAAGAGGTAGCGATCTATAAACCTAATAACAAGTTCAGCTGTTCAACATTGCTTTGTGATTAAATATCAAATTGTGTTTTATATTGCTCAAAATTGCACAAAGAATGCTGAACATTTGTACAATCCAAGTGTCTTAGTAACATAGTCAGATTTTATATGATTGTTAACTATATTTTGAGTCATAAATTACATCTTTGAATTTGAGCAATTTAGTGTAGTAATCACATAATATAATTTTTAACTAAAATTATGCACTAGTTTTGCATAAAAATAATAAAAACTTAGTATAACCAAGTTATGTGATGGCTACACTGCTATTCAAAAGCTGTTTTGCAAAATTTTAAAACCTGCTAAGATTCTATACTGAACTCAAAGAAAAGAATAAGAACTTTTCTTCCTATATGTTTAAGAGAGGCTTCCCTAAGCTTTTGAAAATGGCATACAGAAAACAATGTGTTAAATCATTAGGGTATATAATACTTTATTTATATGATCATGTAACTATTTTTATATCGAGTTGTTTACAGTAAACAGTTCGACATTAAGGTAATCGTAATCGTGTTATTATTTGTTCTAGTACCAGGGCCTCAATTCTGCTATTTCAAATTAGCCACTGTCATTCCCATTAACGCGAGATTGAGATGCCATCGACATTGGTTAAAATATTGGTATTCCACTAATATAAATTCACAGTGTCACAAACTTTGATATAAACAACATGTTGAATCTGGAAAATTAAATATATCATTTCCCTACAAATTTAAAATTTACAATTTACAAAACTATGACAAAGACATTGTCGAAATTTGAATCAGTGGCATTTCAGTGAGAAGTCATCGGGACACAATTGGTCTTAGATAGTTAGTAGAATACGAAAAGTGGCAAACTATTTCGCGCAATTCCATCGACAGTCTATTGATATATCAGATGAAATATTAAAATAGCAGAATTGAGACCCAGGTAAGCAAATTTTGGGCTACTTTACTAAGTTGATAGGTTAAAAAAATTAAACCATTCGAAATTGTTAATTGTTAGTTAAACACAATTTTTGCAAAAATGGTTTTACGAAAATTTTAGGTTACTTTTTAAGGTAGTAATCCAATGAACAGTTGTTGACAATATCACGATATGTTCTTATCATGCAGACCCCCTGCACATGCAGTATTTATACCTTGGCATTGAAATCGAAAATATTACATACTAGATAGGCAGGTCTAAATATCATTTGCAAGGAAATAAATATTCTAAGACATGAGTTGAATCTCAAGGTTGCATTCAATTAATCTTATTTATATGTATTTTATCAATACATGAATTGTTTCATCATTTAAGAATGATATGTATAAGCAATTCAAGACTTGCCAGGTTTAACTATAGAGATTCAGTTATACTCATCTTGTCTGTAATATTTATGATTGAAGGTGTACAGTGAAATATGAACATCAACCCATAGAAAGGTAAATCTAATATTATTACATATTATATCACATTTCACTGAACACATTTTACGCCTTTAGTCATTATTATAGTTATTTATTGTAATGCATACTAATTCAATAAAATCACGTGAGTATGTAACATGTTGTTTTATTAGAAGTTCAACAATATAATATCACAATGAATTCTTTATTAAAAAATATGGCAAAGAATGTTTTTTCCATATTTTATTAAATGTTAAAAATGAAGACTAGAATAATGTCCAGCAGTGAACTATTAAAGTGTAAAACCGTAGAATCTCATATTTCTTGAGAATTAAGTTCATTATTTGCATTATTATCAGCTTCTTCAATCCTTGATTCCTCAATAACAATGAAATTATGTGCACTGCCAGAGTATATTTGAGTGATGATAGAATTTTTATTTAAATCCAATGGTAATAATGTCGGTTTTAAAATATTATTCTCTGATTTTATTCCTGTGTTGCAATGTTCATTCCAACCCCATGCCCAGATTGTATTGTCAGTTGCCAAACATATAGTATGTTCCGATCCTAAAGCTATATCCTTCACTTCTCTGCCCTCTGAAAGTTAATAATAGGCACTTATGAACAGTACAACAAATTAGTTCCTATTTGTAGAGATAATGTTGTATACAATACAAACCTGGCAAAGAAATTTGTGCAAAACGTCCAACTGGTATTACATTCTCTGTGCCACTTTGGCCAAGATTATTTCTTCCCCAAGTTAACATTGTACCATTTTCCAACCACAATAGCACATTTGTCCAACCACTTAATAGTTTCCTTACTTGTTGCTTAACATCTATATCTATTTTATTAGGTTTATATAGTTTTCTATATTTCTGTGAACAAAGGAGTAACTGGCCAAATTTATTATCACCCCACACGTAAAGTGCCTTTTGGTCTGAACACCATGCTACAGTATGGTTCTGCCCACATGCAATGTGAGATATCTTACCAACACCTTCAACTTGCTGAAATCTATCACTTGATAACACATTACTCCCGAGTCCAAGTTGTCCATGCTTACCACAACCAGTTGTCCACACTTGCCCCTTGGAATTAACTATAGCTGTATGTCTCAGTCCCATTGAGACATTATTTGCTTTAACTTCTAGTCTTATAGGCCTCATAGATTCAGAAAAGTGTTCTTTAGGCAACCCCAACTGGCCATGACTGTTTGAACCCCAAACAAATAAGTAATGATCATCTGTTACTCCACAGCTAAAGTCCCAACCGCAAGCAATATTCGTAAATGTTATACCACTTAATTTCCATGTTCTGTGGAAAGTGTTTACCTCATCTTGTGTTGCTAATTGTAATTTATTATTCCAACCACAACAATAAAGTTTTCCCGCATCATCTAGTAAAAGACTATGTCCACCTCCACAGGAAATTTGTTTTATTTTATTTTCATAGAGATGTATATCTTCTACTTTTGTAGGCTTTTCTATTTGCTCATTTATAATACCCAATCCCAATTGTCCATGCGAGTTAGCACCCTGAAAAACGAATAAGTTTCAGTGACTTATTTATTTATAAGTGAAGGTTATGTATAGCGATAATAAATAAATTTACTATGTAATTTGTTTAAAACAAAAAGTAAGTACCCAAGACCACAATGACATTCTGATTGGCTATATATTATAGTCTATTTTGCCTAGCTTTTAACATTAGAACTATAAATTAAGGTCAACTTCAACTTCAACTTTTGGTTAATGGCTTTGTGGTAGAGTGTAACCACAATTTCGCCAATGTCATGTATTTGAAAGACAAACTGTCAAATTGTTCAAAACAGATTTGTCAGAGTCAGAACAGCTGATTTTCGGTTGACGTATCCTGGTGACGTTTGAAAACAATTGTCAGAAATGTCAAAAAATGTCGACAAGGCATATCAGATTTCTGTGCTAATCAAATAAAAAACATCTAAGCTAAAATTAAGTTTAGCTAATTTTTTATTGTTATTTATTTTTACGTAGTGTACATTGAACTCTTGTACCCAATTACCCAAGCAATGATTAAACTTACGTTACGAGACATACTACTACTCTCCTCGACCGATTTCAGTCACGGTGACCTCGTCAACTCCGTTCAAGTTGTCGTTGGTGTGCTTGTGTGTGTGTATGTGTACTCACTAGCACTCTCGTGGTATGACCGCAACTACTTATCTCCTATCCTCTCCCTCCTTCCTTTCGAATGTACGACAGGATAAACGAAGTAGGTAAATTGGGGAAAGGATAGAGCTAAGGTAAGTTATCTACAATGCATTGGCTTGGGAGAGAAACGGAACTGTAGATCAAGTAGCTACAGTAGGTATAGTATTTTACAAATATTAATTCCTTTAGTTCCCGACTTGCATCTGTTATTTAAGTACTGTAATAGTACCATCATGTTCTTTAAGTTAATTCTTTTTTTGTATTGGAGATCATTTTCTGATGATTTGGTAGGTGCATAACAGTCTCAGATCCTATGTAGGAACCGGTTTGTCTCACTGCAAAAGGGCACTAACAGCCCTATTTTATTGCTTTACGAAGATCATCTAGTTTTATATTTAACTGAGTCCCAGAATCTTTTAAGTAAACAGTGTTACACCGTATAAATAACCACGTAATGGACTTCTGATATTTTTGTTTTGAATTCGACTTGAATTTGTTTCGAATTGAGGAATGTTGAACTAGTGTTGAACGGTTCCTTTTTTTTGTCATACAAGTGTTTTGCTTTCAACATTTTCCTTGTTAAAATTATTACCTGAAAAAAAAAAAACTACTTAATTGATAAACATTTATTTTGGGGATGATTACCGTTAGTCTAAACATATAAGAATAATAAATTGTCGTAAAAAGGAATTTATTTAAATATCAGATCTGCATGATGTGCTCCGCTACTAAAAAGGTTATCCTTTGCTGTCATTAATGTCAGTATTGTTATGTTTTGATTGTAATAAATATGGAAACTATTTACTTATTTTTGATTTTTCTTACATAAACTTAAATACCTATGATTCTACATCCAGTTTACATATGTTATAAATGATATTCAATGCGTTTTGAGCAATGGATATTGTTAAGAAACACGTAACCAGCTCTCAAGTTAAGGCTTTGATGGATTTTATGAAAAGACATCCAAATATTGCCAAAGGTGTGAATTCAGGATTGGAAAGAGAAGATGTTGAAGCTCAGTGGCAAGATCTCACAGTTAAACTAAACTCTATGGGAGGACCAGTTAAATCAGTCGACAAATGGAAAAAGGTGTATATTTGAAGTTTAAGCTGAAACGTAAATTGTTTTTGATTACTGGACGGCATCAAAAATATTCAATATTTTGGTTTCAAAAATAATTTATTGAACAATGGTATATACTTTGGCAAGTAACTGTGTGATGAAGAGTACACTATTATTTGAAAACTCTTTTTTATTTAGAACACCATAACAAAGTAATATGAAACTGTGTGGTGTCTCATAAGAGAACCTTTGCTCAATGAATAATTCCTCACACTCTGACTTCGTGAAGTCTTTGTTTGTTCTTCTAGCAGCACTATACTGGAATGCGCTAACCTAAACCAGCTTGAAATCAGGATGTCCACAAGCCAGTTTGTATTTAAAAAGAAGAGACATGATCTCTTGCTTAATGAGGTCTAAAGCCTGACTGGAAGAAAATGCCCTATGCATAAGTCCACCGATGTACAAAAGTGCATATAGTTCAGAAATAAATGAATATATTTTGTTATTGGTATTAGTTACGTGCATCAGACATGATTGGTTCTTGTTGTAATTCCAGACATGGAGCTATCTGAAATGGAATACAAAGAAAAGAGCAATGAAACAGCAACAATCTTTTTGTGACACAAGTATAGGAACGAGTTCAGATCATGGTGAGCCTGGGCAGAACATACAGAAAGATACAGAAGAACCTTCAAGGAAAAGATTTGGTATGATCACTTTTATTTTGATATCATTTATGTAATGTTACTCGCAAGTCTGGCATCTCGCAAGTCATTTTCCTTTTTTGTGCAGAACTCACCTCAAATACCACCCATCAGTAGGGTGATTATGTCAGACTCGAATCGTTTAAAAACTGCACGCCCTCTACGATCAGTAATTGGGGACCCAGGTATACCCTAGAAAGGAACACCCTGGTACCCTGACATACTTCAGGCCATCTACCACTTACACATGATCCCTCCTGCGCAACTGTTGCCCTAGCTATAACTCTAGTTGTATTCATGACTACTACTTAATCATACAAAAAGGAATTGAATCAACCTGTAGAAAGATAGTAAACGGTGACAAGTTGGATTTAGTTACCTGAAAGATCTGACCTTGGATACAGAATGAATTCTTCTTATAATATAAAATATATCTATCTTATCATTTAACAAATATTAATTTTTTTGGAAACCATATTTTATTAAATTTTATAGTAGTTTACCTTGCTAAAAATGTATTTATGTCCAAAATTCTGATGTTTTAATTACAACCTTTGTTTAATGTTTCAGTGTCCTTTGACGAAGAGATTGTTAAAATAGAAAGAGACAAGTTGGAACTTGAACGAGAATATAAAATACAAAAGATTGAGGTGTTATCTAGGTAAGGAGTTATGTGTTACTTGTAGCAATTTTCCTCTCTTTATTTATTATGCACCTAAAGAACTGTTCTACCACACATAAGTACAAGTACAACTCTACAATATTTCTAGATCAGAAGTTTATTATTTTGTTTCAGAATAGCAGCAGCATTAGAAGAATTGGCCAATAAATAAAAGATTCTATAACTAATATTCATTTGTTCACATTAATCAAGTGATGGAATCTGAAATAAATGGAAACTCATGAGAGATGTTAATCTACAAAAGTTGGATATTGAAAAGTTGAATATTTACAATTACCCTCATTGCAACAAATCATGTTGTTATATCCCTAGATTATAAAATTTAGCAACCATTTACCTCAGGATAGGCTTTGGGTGCGAAGGTCTGTGAAAAACAGTTTTAATAGCTCTGAATGAATTTAAGGAGAGGGTACAAAATTGACCATGCTGAGATATTGTGTTAAAGGTGTTTATCGGCGCACTTCCGTAGAGACCTCGGCGAGTGTTGGACTTTGTATGGCACAGATGTGTAAAAAGAACTTATTTAGTGGAAAAACTCATCTGTTACAATATATCGCACTTTCTGTTGTTGTCAAAGGTCTTTTTTTTGGTAGAAAACAGGTGTTTCCTAGAAAGGAAATTCCTGTGAATTGATGAAGGTCTAGAGATGTTTAAACTTTCTTTATTAGTTATTAGTTTTTTCTTTATCCTCAATATTTTTCTTTATATTTTTCATAGTGATTCGTTGACGACAATTTCCTTTGTTTTAAATCAAATTAATGTTTTAAAAAAGTTTAGTTTTCTCGCGGTATGATATTGTTATTGTATTATTTTGCTAACATTTTATAAATAATACAAGGTGTCTCAAAAGAAAGTTTATATTTATTTAGCTTACTGCGTGAACGCAACGAGTCCGAGGGGCACGGGGGTTATGTCAATCGGTAGCCTGGCTCTTGGGAATTCAGTCGCTATGGAGCGTTTCTCGGGAGCAGACCGTGCGTTGTGCGTGCGAGAGTTTTACAAAAACGGTGATTCGGCGACTGTAGCGCGTAGAAGGTTCTGTAGTGTTCGAGGTTTTCGCCATTTAAATGATGCGCCAAGCATTCCTCTTATTTGAAAATGGGTCAAAAAGTTTGAAGGGACCGGTACAACGCTGGAAAAACCAAAATCCGTGCGACCAAGGTCATCAAGAACGGTAGAAAACGTGGAGAGTGTTAATCAGTCTGTTCGTGACGACCCGAACCTTTCAATTCGGAAGCGCGCAAGTGCTTTAAATGTGCATAGATCATCATTACACCGCATTTTGCACAAAGACCTAAAGCTGCACCCCTACAAAATTCAATTGGTTTAAGAATTAAAGCCCCAAGATGCCAGTCAGAGGCTTGACTTTACCAACATCTTGTTTTCGGATGAAGCTCATTTTGATGTTAATGGACACGTAAATGAGCAGAATTGCCGCTACTGGAGTGCAATGAATCCGAAACGCAAACATCAGAAACCCCTTCATTCGCCTAAAGTGACCGTATGGGCTGCGATGTCGGCGCGAGGAATTATCGGCTCTTACTTTTTTGAAGACGAAAGGGGGCGTGCAGTTACAGTGAATTCAGAGCGTTATGTGGAGATGTTAGACGACTTCTTGGCGCCTGAACTGCAAAACTTTCATGGCTATAACCAAAGAACATGGTTCCAGCAGGACGGAGCAACGTCACAGACGTCCAATACGTCTCTGCCACGAGTTCGTGAAATTTTCTCAGGCAAATCGATCTTCAGGAGAGGTGACATAAATTGGCCTCCACGCAGTCCTGATTTAACCCCTATAGACTTTTTTCTATGGGGTTATCTTAAATCCTCCCTGGCGCATTTGAAAGAAAATATCCGTCACGAAATGGCAGCCATCACTGAGTCCACCTGCCGAGCCGTCATAAGTAATTTTACTGTTCGATTAAATGAGTGCCGCGAACGCGAGGGTCTACATTTGGACGATATTATTTTTAAGAAATAAATTCCCAAATTGTGTACTTTAATAATTAATAAACATTTTTTCGATACACTGCTTACTTTTCTTTTATCGATCTACTAAATATAAACTTTCTTTTGAGACACCTTGTACAATTATAACAGTATTGAATCTATTTTTAATCTAGAAAAATATACTCTACAAAAAACAATAATATAAATATGGGTTGAAAATAATTAAATGTACCTAAACATCTTGCAAAACACGTGACATTCGTTTTTTTCAGACACCTCAGCATTTGGCCTTAAACTAAGCAAAGCTACATTAGCTAATTGGATACTTATATTTTTTTTTTTGGAAAGCCGTACATATATGTAGAAAACACAAACTCCGGAACAAATACTTGTAGTCGTACAAACATTTTGTCCGACCCGTTAATTAAACCCGAGACCTCTGCATAGCAGTCACACACGCTACCACTGCACCATCGATCGCAGTCAACACCAATCCATGAATTATACTCCTGCCAAAAATAACTAAAAGCGGCTAAAAAGTTTCACTTTAAAATTAAAAGCCTGTATAAGATATTCGTTTAAATTTTATCGCATTTGGAATATCACTACACTATACATTACTACAGAATAAGGTGAAGTTACTAGTAAGTATTAGGTATATACAATAAATAGTACGCTACACTTTTCAGGGAGTTTTGACTCAAGTTCATAAACTAGCAACATACACTATGTGATGATACATATTACAAAAAATGAAATAACAGATAACACGGTTTAATATACGTCGGTTAAAATAAAAATAAAAAATTAGTACGAAAATACAGAAATGCAAATTTAGAACAAAATAAATACATACAATAAAATAATTCGGACCCGGATTCGGACTTCGGACCCGGCAGTACGTGTCACTCCTTAAAAAAGTAGGTACTTTGCTTGTCTCGTAATCTTTGTACCGCCTTTACAAAAATTCGGCAGCCTGTAGGACATACACGATTGACTCCATACCTGTCCGTAAAGCTAAAGGTGCGTTTTGATAGAGTTTCCCATAAATTAACATCATGGCAGGATATTCCGCGGCTGTGAAGGTCACTCACGGCATTATGGATGTTAGTACCGATAACCCAATAAATTAAAAGACTGATAAATTACTCAGTTTTCACTACACACCTAATATTGACACTTTTCAAAATAAAATTAGCAGGACTCGTTACATTACGAAGTCTTGCGCACACGATAACATTAATTGTTCACACCATTTCGGTGTATTATGACGAAAGCAATAAGACTATTATTAACACAAGAAAACTTTTCTAAACAAATATCTCATGAACAACAACAATATTATTATTACGGTAATTTGTCGTGAGCACATCTTTAAGGATAGCATAACACTCGCCGGTGGCCAAGGGCCGACTGACTATCCTTACTGGATGAACTAATTAAAAACGCGTGTCCTTCATCCTGATGACGCAATAATCAACATATTTCATTCGATTCGAGTGCAGTAAAGGCGGCAACGAGTGATTACCGCGCCGCGTATACAGCTGATCGCCGCCTGAGGGCAATGGATTATGACTGCATTTACACATGATGTTGCAAATTACGAAGACAAAACAAATGCCCTTTTTCTAAACCACTGAATATTTTATATTCATATGTTGCAAATCGTCTAGAAATAAAGTGCAGAATATGTGGTTCACAGACTCAAAAATAGGTGACACGCTGTATACAAAATGGCGAACACAATAATCATTTATTTTAGAAATAATTCAATGGCTTACTTTTTTGTAACAGATACGAAACAATTGTACTTACCGATGTTAGGGACTTTTAAATTTAATGTAGAAGGTAGGTGCAAGGTCTGGTGGTCACATCTGCAACCAGCTTTGGTCAATCGGTCGTCCCCACTGCTCCTTCACGACAACGCGCGACCCCATACTGCGCAACAGACAGTCTCCAAGCTGCAAGAGCTGGGGTTGGAAGCTCTCCCTCATCCGCCATACTCACCAGACCTTGCACCTACCGACTATTACTTTTTCCAAAATTTAGACAACTTTTTACCCACTAAAAAGTTGGTGAGTATGGCGGATGAGGGAGAGCTTCTAACCCCAGCTCTTGCAGCTTGGAGACTGTCTGTTGCGCAGTATGGGGTCGCGCGTTGTCGTGAAGGAGCAGTGGATACGACCGATTGACCAAAGCTGGTTGCAGATGTGACCACCAGACCTTGCACCTACCGACTATTACTTTTTCCAAAATTTAGACAACTTTTTAGTGGGTAAAAAATTCAATTCCTGAGAGGCAGTACAAAATGGCTTTGAAGAGTTTGTTGCCTCCCGTCCAGCTGATTTTTACAAGAAGGGCATCAATAAACTGCCAATGCGTTGGCAAAGATGCGTCGATTGCATGGGTGATTACTTCGAATAACAGAAATAAAAAAGTTTGAAAAAATAAGTACTTTCACTTTTTGCATACAAAACGGCAATTTCATAGGTAAAGATCTAATATTTAAATAATATTATGTGCTGATCTATTGTTTTCAATTTAAACAAATATGTATATATAAAATAAAGATGTGACTGCTAAATCCCTTTAATTTGATGACTAAAAAGTATTAGTTCAATCAACAAGCGGACGATGATACAATATACTATAATGGGCTTAGTTGAATGTACTAATAGTTTAGCTTTTATAATAATAATTTTGAATCTTGCCTAGAATCAGGTTTACTTCTATCTTTTATAACTACGTGAGTAACTACTCTAAGTCTGGTAGTGCCACGGACCCCAACGTGTCTTCCGACATTATATAAATTATTAACGTCCGTTCTGGGAGTGAAGATAACATCTAACAAACAACTCTATTATGTCTCACTCTCAGAATGCATGTAGAGGTGGGGCACACGGCACTAAAGAGCTCCTTATTATTGACGACTATTAACCAACAAGTTCGCCGTAACCGAAAAGATCTGACGACATGTTGGATAGATTATAAAAAGGCTTATGACTCTGTGCCTGCTGAGGGTGATGGAGTTGTACAAGATTTATACAACTCTATCGTTAGGCAGCTGTTTTAAGGGCCTGCTACAGAAAGCAGTTCTTCTTGATACGTCACGTAACATGAGGAGGTTTCTGTCTCTAGAGGGTTATCATGGTCCCTGTACCCGATACCGATGGGACACTATATTTATATTTTTAAATGTAT